CACTCTCATATCATATTCAACCAACAGTGACTGCGCGTGGCTATAAAGGGCGCCGCTCTTCCGCTTTTGTTGCCGTTTTTCACGAACAGGCACTTGTTGGTGGAACGGGCTGCAAACGGCGCGTAAAAATGATTGATCCGTCTTGGCCAAGTGTCTGCCGCTGCCACCCACCGCACCGATCGACGCGCGTAATGGCAAGGTGTGCTGCAAAAAGTCACGGGCAGGGACACGAGAAGCTTCAAAATGTGCACGTCATCCACCAACAGATATGTACGAGGGCCTGTTCGTTTTTCATCCCACACGTCGCAGATCAATACGAGCCGAGTTTGGAATAAATAATCCCAAACGCCTCCCACACAACAAACAAGTAAAAAAGTATAATAATATTAATAAAAATATTTAAAATAATTTATAAAAAAAAAACTTAGTCAACCGAGGCTCACTGCGGCGGATGGTGTCTTTTTATCTCAGAAGTTTTAGGAAAATCCTTGATAGTGGTGGTGCCGTTTGGTTCAAAAATTCCTTTTTTTAAATAAATTATTTTCAACAGTTGAATATAACGAATGTGGACAAGTAAATCAATAAAATAAATCAACCAAAATGCGACTACCACTAAAATGGTCTTCCTGAAATTTTAGCAGGAAGAAAAAACGAAGGTACCAAGGCGCAACGATCGATGTTGGGTATTAATTAGGCGAATTTATCTGATCTCGGCTAAGTGCACCAACGCTTAATTGAAGTGGCCCCCTGGGGAATGATAAAGCTGTGGCCTTGTACAACGCGGGCCAAGCAAAAGAGGGGTGTCAAGTTCATTTGATGAGAGTAAAATCAACTGGAATACAGGAAACTTTTTGATTCAAAAAATAAAAAATAAAACGAAACAAGACTTTCATTATTCTATCATGATGAAAGAACCAGAATTAAATTAATTACTAACGCGGCCTGATTAATTTTGCTTCATAAATTTTTGCTGTATAATTTGGCTGCCCCTCAAAAGCGTGGCCCCTGGCCTGGCTGGCTTACTAACGGAGCCTCTTTTTCCGCGTGCAAATCAGAATTAAAAGGCAGCAGCGAGCGGGTTTGGGAGGCGCGCAAAGTGCCGCACAGGGACCACTCAGCTCTGCATTTTGCATGAGACCCAATTGCAGGTCAGAGAGCGATGCGATCATCTCTCTTTTGCTTGCTGCTCCGCTCCACAGGTGTGCCTTAAAATAATAACAAAACGTGCACCGGATTTATAATTCATTCATCGGCAGCTGCCAGCGCGCGCCATTTTGCCAACGCAGTTAAATAATTAAGGTGGTGGAGATTTGGATTTAAAGTCGGCTTTTCCTCGATGGATTTTGTGAGTTGTTTCTTGTTTAAGTAAAAAATAATATCCTGCTCTTAGTTTTTGATGTACAAAATTTCAAACTTTTCAAGAACCTCGCAATTTTCCTCCAAAAAAATTAAATTGTGATATATTTTGTATTTAACACAGTCACGTTTGGAGCGTATTTTGTCGTGCGCCAAAAATTTAATCCACCGAGCAAATCAGGCGGCTGGCGAACAAGCGGCGCTATTGCCAGTTTTTGACATGAAAAGCCGGACAGGATTTGATTACGGCTTTATTGAAGCTGACACACGCTTTTTGCGTGAGCACCCCACGATACCCTCTCCGCCCACTTTTCCGGGCAAGCATGTCAGAATGTGTTTCATTTACCCATGCGAAAAAAGATTGCTACATATAATGCAAACTGTTGGAGTTGAGAAGTTGGTGCGAGTTGTTTATTACGTAAGTTGTTTGCAGTGAGGGATCCGAGGGTGTACCAAGCAGGCCACTTTTTGCCACACAATTGTTGTACATACATAAGCCTAGAGCGCTGTTCGTTGTAATTATCGGGCTTCCGAAAGCAGTTCGAGAGAGTTTGCTCTCTTTGTTCACAACTCACTCTGCTCGTAATTTAATTTCGCCGAAAATCGATTCGCCAATTCAAATTTCCATCTCGTCGCTCTTACAAAGCAAACAACTGGCCCAGTTTCATTGCTTCGAGAAGAGCGATTCGAAAGAATTTCTGCCTGCCAAAGCAGATTAATCTGCGAAATTTTCCTTGGCGCGATTCTCTCTCCGGAGACTTTCCCTTGGCGGCGCGTGACGCAAAATAAGATGAGTGCCTTGAGCAGTGGTCGGGCTGGACCTGGGCCAAACTTATTCAATAATAGCCGCGATATTGCCCGAGACACGTTCTTGCTTGTATTCGGGGCCAATATCTGCCGGCGCGCCCTTTCTTTTTTATTAATTCGAAGTGGCCTATTTTTGAAACTCTAGCTTAATGTCTTCTTGGAGAATCGAATAAAAAGTGGCGCAGAGGGGGATTTACAAGGCGCGCGCCGGTCACGCCTCAACGACGTCTGTCTCACTCTCTTGATTTTCGGTCAATCCAGAGTTTACGAAAGCAGCCTGACAGCGGGCGTTTTATGGGCTTAATAGGCTCGTAAATTTCGGTCGCTGAGTGCCTCCGCTTGACAAGTAAATTAAATTTGGATCCGCCGGCAACCAGTCTCAATGATCATTTGCAATCGTTTGTTTTTTTATCGATGAAATGATTATCTTTAAAATTCACTCACCGGGCGCATTCAATTTGACAAAATTAAACACCAAATATAAAACTTCCATCAAAATTATTTGATTCCTCGATTTTCAAATGTGAAATATTGTAAATTTTAACAGTAATAATTATAGTAAAAAAAAAAAATACTGAAATAATAATTCCCACAACTACCATGTTGAAAAGCTCGATTCAAAACCGATTATGAAGCGTAGAAACTTTTGGGCCAAACAAATAAACACTGGCGCTGGCTGCTAATAAAAATCCGAATGAGCACCACCTGGTGCAAATAATTCAGCGGCCCTGCCAAAACGAGCGATTCCAAGCGCACGACAATAAAAGAAAAGGGGGACACGTGCCGAGTTATGCAACCAGTGCGTGTCGAGCGTCACGCCGGTTGCATACCCAACGTGAATAAGGGAACGGTCGGGAGAGAGAGAAAGAAAGCGAGAAAAAAATAAGCTGTCAAACGTGCGGTGCGAGCGAAAATAACCCGACCGACCAGCGCAAGCAATGCGTGGGCGTTCGGACAGCACTCGACGAGAGCTCATTTCGCGGTGTCGATTTTGGCGCGAGATTTTCGGCGAGTGCCGCATGAAAATGGCTTTGAATTTGCCTACTAGGCGAGTGGCGGCGAGCTGCTGATTTGCTCTATTCCTGTGACACGCGGCCCCGCGAAGAGGCGATTCTATTTTCACTGCCAGCCCAGATTCGCCCTCCCCGCGCCGTGCCGCGCATAATTATACATATGCACGCATCTTTCTTCTGCTAGCCTCAACAATTGCATAAGAAACAAATTTGAAATCAAAAATAAATTATAATTTTTTTTTTTAATTAATCCAAATTGAAATTTGCACATTTATTTTTAAACACATAAACGTGCTTTTATTTTTATTTTTTGAATAACAACTAATTTTTAAATCAGGGTTGATTTGCTGTTTAGCGAAAAAAAAAGATTATCTCTCCCTGTGTAAATTTTCTTTGTCTTTTACAAACTCAATAAGGCATTATGAATTCCGAGGCAAAGCAATAGGTCGCACAAATGTGACGAAAAGAAGCCTTGACGGTGAAATTAGAGAGAGGCTCAGCACACGGACTGAAAAACAGCGAAAACGACGAATTCCACTCTTCTTCCAAACAATGGCTTCTCCGAAAGAAAGGGCAACAATCGCTGCTGATTTGCTTTCTCGCCACATGCGGTCGGGAATAATGAAAAGTGAAAGGCGATTTTTTGCCGCCTTGCGCCACTATGCGCCGGTTTCTAAAAATAAACTCATCCGCGCGCGCACGGCGCTTTTAATTTTTTCTGTCTCAAAACGTTCGCTCGTTAATGGCCCATTTATTTGTTTGCTGCAGCGGACAGGTTCACGCCCGTCGGATCCAGTTGCAACTTCATTCCAAATTCCATTTTGCGTAATTAATCTTTGAACGCGTGTAATTTTGCGTTCAATTGAAGCTAAAAAAAATTAAATTTAAAAATTAATATTGATTAATAATTCATACATAAATTTGGAAACAAATTTGTGAGCATTTTAATAATAAAATGTTAAATAATAATCCATGCATGTTTCTCCGCCTTAAAAATAATAAATTATTTTCAGCTAAAAAAATATAAAAAAACACCCTAATTATTATAACGAGCCTTTATGTGGAATTACGTTCTGACGAGTCTAAAGGCGATTATTCTGGCAACAAATTAATAATTTCCTTTTAGAGTGAATGTTTTTTTTCTAAATTCCAAAGAAGAAGCTTTTTAACCTTTTCACGTAAAGCTAGTTAATTTATTGCAAAATAAATGTAAGCTTCTTCTTTTACTGGAACAAGTCGAGTTAGAGTAACAGCAATTTGCCAAGCACATTGGACTGAAGCGGTAGTAAACAATAGCATAACAGTTTGGTAACTTATATTTGTGTAGAGTCGGCGACCCGCCACACTCCGCCTACAGTTTGCATTTGAGGAGCTTTATGTGTGCTGCACATTTGGTATGGCAGAAATTTGTCTACACCCATAAATTCCGCGGGTATACGAGAAAGTCTCTGTTCCAAAAGAGCAAAGTAATATAATTGAGAATGGGAAGGTGGCGAGGAATTTCTTCTTTTCAGCTGGCGCAGTAGTACTTCTTTTGTCCCCCATTATTTACGGATGCTGTAAATAATATCGCAGCCTCCGGAGCTGCATTTTATTACCTTGCCTGTCGGCGGCTTTATTATTATTGATGGGCCACGCTGACGATCAATTTCTCGCGAATAGAGACGAAACTTGACGCACCTACCTCTGCATATTTATATCTTAAAAGGGAAGGCCTGTAAATTTTCATTCAACACTTGGCACTAAAATAAAACTTGAATTATAATTTTAAAAAAAAGTGAGAATTGATTTCCTAAAAGGCTGAGAGAAAAAATCTGTACTCACTCGCTTTCGTTGTTTTCGAAGATAAGCTCGCCCTCGGCCTTCTCGTACTCCTTGCCCTCCTTGGCGGTGCCGTCCTCGGTGGTGTAGGGCAAGGCGACGCGCCCCCTGGCGCCACTCCAGCGCACCACCCTGAGTTCGTAGGTGCCGACGCTCTCAACCAACTCGATCGTGTCCTTCTCAGCGATGCTGAAGATGCCACCGTGGTCGTCGTCCAGAATCATGACTGTCACCAACGAGGGCATCGCCAGCTCGAGCTCGTCCGTGCAGGAGCCCTTGCCAGTCGGCGTGACGGCGCTGTTGTTGGCGTCGCCGTTTTGCGCGCCGGGCCAGTTCTCAGCGCTGCCAAAACGCAGGTTGGTGAGGCGCACGTAGAAGTGCTCGTCCTCCTCAAAGACGTCGTCGTCCAGCACCTCAATGCTGAACTTTTTCTCGCGTTCGCCCGGCCCGAAGACCAGCGTGCCGGCCACTCCCATGTAATCGGCTCCGGCGTTGGCCGAGCCGTCCTCGGAGGCGTAGTCGACAAGGACGATGGCGTTGGGGTCGCCGCCCTCACGGACGACGGTCACTTCGAAGGTGCCCACGTTCTCCATCACGGTGTAGTGGCCTGGGTCAAAGTAAACCTTGATCTTGTGTTCATCAACGGGTTCAGCGGCCTCCTTGACCTCCTCTCGGTCGGCGGCCTCTTTTTCCTGCGCCTTCCTCACCAGGTTGGTGCCACCCATGAGTTTGCGGGTGGCCTGAATGCGGTAGAAGGCGCGGCTCTTGGGACCCTTATTGAGCACCTCCTCGCGTGCCATCGCCTCGATCTGCTCCATCTCAATGTTGGGGTGTTTCTTGCGCAATTCACGCAACATCGTGATGTACTCGCGGCGGTTCTGCTCGAACTCGCGAATCTCTTCGTTCTCCTCCTCGTCAAAGGTCTTCAACATGCCGTCAACGTGGTTCATCTCAAGGTCGGTGCCACCTTCGGTCTCAACGATCATGCCGCGCTTGTTCATGCGGTAGTTCTTGTTCAGATACTTGTAGATGAGAAGGCGACGGTCGGCGATGTAGGCCGTCAGCACGGTGGCCGGGAAGAAGAGGAAGGTGAGGAAGGCCTCCCACACCTCCACCTCGCCGCGGGAGATGACGGCCAGGATCAGGTAGAGCCACACGTAGGCGAACACGGACCATGTGGCCGTCACGAAGAATACTCGCAAGTGTTTGATCTTTCGCACTTCGCCAGGCGGGATGACGTAGATGCAGAGGGCGATGATGACGAACAAGTTGTACGCGGCCGAGCCGACGATGGTGCCGGGGCCGAGGTCGCCGGCCGTGAAATTCTTGGCGTAGATTTCAATGATGGACAAGAGAATCTCGGGGGCGGACGAGCCGAGGGCCATCAGGGTCAGATTAGCCACGGTCTCGTTCCACACCCGCACCACCACGATTTGCGTTTCGCCGTTGGCCTTTTTGACCGTGATCTCCTTCTCCTTGGAGGTGATCACTTCGATGGAGGCCATGAAACGGTCGGCGATGATGGACACGCCGATGAAGAGGTACACCATGGCGAAGAAGTAGACGAGGCCGCGCGCGAAGCGGTCGCCAGTGGTGAGATTTTCTTGCGGCTGCCACATGGGAATGATCAGTCCGTCCTCGCACGTCGTGCCGCTGCTTTCAGCCGGCGACGACGTGCCATTGTCTTGGGCCGCCGCGGCCGCCCACGTGGCGGCCAATGCGGCCGCTGCCACCACGGTTCGCGCACTCATCTCAGCAGTTTCTGCAGCAACTCGTTCGTATCTCTAGCTGCACTGCTGATGCAGCACCATCGCACTCTGGCTGCAACCGACCGACCGACTGACTGACTGAGAGTCTCGCTCGCGCTCCTCGCCGCTGCTTCTCCCCTTCGCCGGGCCGGACGCACGCGCTCCCTCGCCAGTCGCTGCTGCTGCCGCCGCCGCCGCTGATGCTGCTCAACCCCTCGGCGCGTTGACCATGTCCACCAGAGGGCTGCACCTGAAAGCAGGCACACTTATTAAGCTATTTTAAATCCGCTAACATCGTGTATTTGTGCGAGCAGCACAAAAAAGAAACAAATGCGCCGCGCCAGGTATTTTTCTTTCTTTTGTCAGTCGCGGAAACCTTGCTCTACATTTCTTCCCGGTCTCTCTCTCACGCAGACTGCCGGCGCGCGCGCGACCAAGCAACGAACGAACGAGCCAGCGATCGGTGACGCCAACCGAGAGATGAGTGTGTGCAAGAAGAAGCCCTACCTAGTGGAGCAAGCCAATTTACTTATTCAGCTCTTTGTCGCCGCTTAAGGAATGCAATAATTTGATCAAACTCGCACTCGTTTATGTGCTTGAATCAACATAAAAGATAAAAATGAGAAATAAAAATATAATAAAATGCGAATTATCAAAGTTCATGATATGCTATATTTACGCTATATTCGGATACTTGGAACGTGCTGGTAAAATTAGCAGGGTCGATAATTTTCAATAAAGGCGCGCACTCTCGGCGGCGAACAATTATACTCGCGAATCAGCAAACTCGATCCGCTCGCTGTTGCACAGAGCCAAAGGTTGTTGGATTCGTTTTCATATGTACTCCGGCGATTCCTTTGAAGTGAAAATCACAGAGAGCAAAACAATGCTGCAGCTCTTGCGCCGGCAAAGAGCCCCTGTTCGGCTCGCGGCTAGGCAACCCGCTCGACAAACATACAATTTCATACACTGAACTCCAGCGCTCTTTGTGTGCGACTATCCGCGCGATTGCATCCGCGAGGCAACCACTAATCAAAAAATGCACTTGACACTCTTGTCACTCGATTTAACTTTCCGCCTATAGAGAGACACAAAAGAGCTTGCTATTTATTTTGTACTGAATTTTTCAGACCAAATTAATACTTACAATTTTTAATGCATTTTATTTATATTTAAAATAAAATTTCTGAGATATTTTATTCAGAATCAAATAAGCTAACCGTAGTTTTAGCTAATTATGTTGAATTTTTATCGATTAAATTTGTATATTTTAATTTACGGATACTTATTTGGGCATGGATAATTATATCAGTAAAAAATTACAATTTTAACTATCTCATATAGAAATTAGATTATGGTGGCTGAATTATAAAATTTCGCACAACTATCTTTATTGGTGTTCTATTTTATGTTCTCTCCTTATTAATCGTATTTTTTCATAATTTATTCAAAGTCAATTATTTTTATTGTTAATTTAAAAAAGTTATTCCTCATAATTGAATGACTTCTTCTAGCCTTTGCTGTTTGTCTCTAGAATGCTCTGATTGAGTGGTTTTGGTCAGTGAAACGCTCAAAGGACAGCTCTTAATCGAATTAATCAGGTGATTAATCGCGGAGTGGGCAATCGACTCGAATCAAAAGGAAGCGCCAGAAGCAATTATAGTGGTTTCACGCGTCAGAAAAATGCCAATTTTCCGCTCTCGGCGGCGGCGGCGGCATCGGCTGATCCTCGACAGACAGAGAGCCCAGAGAGCACTTGGCCAAAGGATGCAGATAAAAATAAATTGGTCAGAGGATTGAGAGGCGGTGGGGGCCGCTTTTTATATCTGCACCAAATCAACAAAATAAGGAGAAGGTCCCCGCAGAGTTATGCAAGCCGCGTGACGCGCGATCAAAAACTTACGTCTGGCCCACTTGGAAATCGGCACCCTCCCTCATTAAGGGACACGACGCGTTGTGTATTTTTAATTTATCCACGCGCTCATCTCGTTTTCTTTTGGCTGGAATTAATTTCGCATCTATCAGCGCGCTCGCGATTCCTGTGTCTGATTCCAAACTGGCCGCTGAGAGTTAATAAAACGCGCTCCGATGGCGATGTGTTTTACCTCTTAATTGGCCGCCCCTGCAAAATATATAAGATGTATTAAGATCGTCGGTTCGTTTTATGGCCGCAAAAATTTCCCGCCCGTGGCTATTTTCGTGTGCCACTAAATCTGTGGTCGCCCCTTATAGAAAGCCATTAAGAGCAAGGGAACCTGGATTTGCATTCTCCGTATTTGGGTTTGATCAAAACATGTCAACAGCCACCCACAGTGGAGGAAATATTAAATTTAGGCTCCCCGTCACTTATATTTAAAATCTAATCCAGGACGCGGGCATGAAAGTATCAAATTTTTCGTTCAACGCACGTCTTTAATGCCTAATAAGTGCTTCAACAACTCGAATATTCTCCGCAGAAAAATTATTTGAAGGGCAATTTTTAAAATTTGATTATTTGATTATCACTTGGCAAGCTTTTGGCCTTATTATAAACCTGCAGCCATACTTGGTGTGCGTTTAAGTGGCAGAACTGCTGGAAGCACAGTATTACCGAATTCGTGGCGCGATGAAATTTGTAAAGGAAAAGATAATCTTTTAGCACGTACGCCCTAGTAGGCAGCGGTTCACCCCTTTGCCTACGCTAGCTTCACATAATATGCAAACATGCTCAGTGGGCTGAAGAATTCCAAGTGCAAAACTTTTGCAGAGTTCGATTATTTGTGAACTCGTTTGGATTCCCCCGTTAATGCGGGGCATCAAAATAGTACGTTTCGACTTAAAAAAATATTCTTTTGAGCTTAAAATATAGCAATTCATGATAAAAAGTTTGAAAATTGTTTTGCTTTAAATTTCTCATTCCTCGTAGAAAGCTCCAGAATTTTTGAGACTCGGTTTAGCACGATGAATCCACTTCTTGTTATATGCTTTAAAAGTTGGCACACTGGTCAATGAAAGAAAATGGCAAATTTAATTTTAGAGGGCAGAACAAAGGCTATTTTTATCTTTTATTTGCTTAGTCAAAAGCTTTTAAGCTATTATTGGACAATGCAGTGATGCAAGAGTAGAAATACCGATCGCTACTTAAAGCGATAAGAAAAGTTGTCATTTCCGCTGTCTTTTTGATAGACTCATTTTTACAGATTTTTCCGTCAAAAATATAAATCAAGTCCCAAGCAAGTTTTAATCCCCGAGAAATGAGACGTTGGGAAAATTATTCACTCGCATTTCTATGGCAACCTCATCGCGGCAACTTTAATTGCTCGGTGCTCGTAAATTAAACAGGGGATTAAATGCTCGCGCTGCCGTGCATTAAATTCCGCAAGTACACACAAGCGCCCGACGGTCGGCCTGCTGGTCAAAATACGCGACGTGCACCATAAAAGAGCGGAATCGAGGCGCGTGTTTATGGCCTATTCGGGCCACATTCGTCAAAACAAACAAACGAAATCGCCAACTATCCTACCAGCTTGATCACGTTTAATGTCTTAAAGAGAATATTCGCATACAAGAAAAACATGATTCCAAGAGTTTGATAAAATTTTTTCAGAATTACGACGACTGCTGACATACTAACGGACCAGAAAAAGAAATTTTACAAATTAGCGCAAGTTAGTAATTAATTCATCATTCTGGATATTATAAAAAATATTAATCTGCAAGGCCTCCGTGTGTCAAAATTTGTAATACGTTATAAGAGCAAAAACTTACTCAACTGAGGCTCACTGCGGCGGATGGGGTCTTTTTGATTCAGGAAGTTTAAACAAAATTCTTGCTAGGGTTGGTGACGTTTTGTAATAAATTTGATTTTTTTTTCAAACAAATTATTTTCTGCAATTTGAATGTAAACAATTTGATAAAAATTAAGACGAATAAATAAAAATGCAAGCTTTTATTGATGGAAAAATATTTTCTCTAAACATTTAAAATTATTGTGCTGGGATTTTGAGCAGATTACTTTTTCTTCAAACTATTTCGTTTTGCCTATCAGCCATTGATCACGTGAATATTCTAAACTCTACAGCAAAACGGACAAATGTTTGTATCTATCAGGGGCATATAGATTTGATTAGGGATGAATCACTTCTCCACAAATGCGCCGATTTATTATTTATTAAAGCCCTTCAGTTCAAGCAAACTAAAGTTCACAGTGAGCTGTGGTGCTAACAGAACCTTTCCAAGTCCTCTCTTTACACCCAGTGTGTCTAAAAAGTTTTGTAAACTTTCTAAGGCGGAAAACTTTTTCCAGTCAAGACTAGAAAAGCTTATTCCATTTCGCGTTGAGCTTTGATGTGTACGCAGGTTGAAATGGAATAAGCGTCTATATGAATTAAAATTCAAACCGTCTTTTGGTAAAATTTTTTAATTTTATATAAAAATTTCATTTTTTATTGTTGTTTATTTTTCCTAATGTTTCATCGCCTTGTTTACATTCAATCGTTGAAAACATAATTATTATACCACGGGATTTTAAAATCCTGGATAAAACGGAAAAGGCAAAATATATTTTATCCAAACCATTGCTAAAATTGATGGACATTAAATATTTATTGAAATTGGGCAAATTCCTATACATTATTAATTAAATTGCTAATTTTCAAATTTCAAGGCAGGTAAAATTTTAAACTCAAATAATTTCAATACTTGGTAATCAAAATATTTTCATAATTAATAAGAAACCAAACGTATGTAAGGAGACGAAAAAGGATGTGGAGACTTTTTTTATCAAATTTCAAAACTGACCTGTTTGTTTGGCGCGGATTTGGAATTTGGACAGTTTCAAATGTTGTTGATGAAAAAAGTACGAAAACCAAGCGCTAGTCGCACGTGCTAGGTTAAATGCATGTGTGGCGGTGTTTAATTGCCCTGTCGCAATTAACCCGCATGACCCGTCAAATTCATATCCCGCGTCGCTTAGTAAACACAATTACGAGCGCTTTGGTGATAAAATCTGCTGCCGCGCGGTGTGAAAATTCGGCACGCGAATTTTGCAAGCATAAAACTAAACGATGAGTGATTGACGCTCTTTTTTAATCCTCATTTAAATAATCGTAAATTATGTAAATTCAATTCGCGTGTGAATTGCTAAAATTTTTCATCAGTTAAAATTGCCAATATTATTTTTATTGCATTAAAATTTTGGGAATGAGAAAATTAACTTGTTTTTCCAAAATATGAATTTAAATTATCTGCAGACATACAAATATATCTAATTTTAATGCAGTTTTTAGTTTTATTTTAAATTAAAGAATAGTAAAATTAAAACAAGATAATAATTGCCCACGGGATTCTAAATTGATTCTTTGAAACCTTTGTGAGAGAGTCGTAAAAATAGCGGAGAATTTCGAGAGTATAAATTTTCGTATAGTTACCTCCACGTGTTATTCTGGCATTTTCTCAACTGTGCCTTTGTTCTCTTTTATTTCGGCGGCGCGACCTCTCCTCTGACAGACAGCAAAACGCTCTCCTAAAATTACTCTGTGCTCTTGCACCACAAAATGCATCTAAACCGCCGCTGCACTGCATTTCACAAACAAACCATCAGCAGATTACTTTTCGCACTCGAGGCACACTTGAAGCCAGTCAGCTGCTGAGCTCTGCACAGCTCGAACTCGCGCTCGGCCGATATTGCGAACGAACGCGCTTATCAAAATTGAATTGGCGAGATGGGAGAGAACGCGGTCCCTACGCAATTTCACACTCGCCGGAATTGTGTATTTTGACCGACTTGCATTAAATGACTATTACTGCGGTGGACACTTTGTGTGGCTTGGCACGTGATTTGAGATACGCAAATACGTCAGCTGAGATCTTTCCGTTCCGATAGGAGGAAATTTTGCAAAATAATTGTGTCCTGAGAGGATTGTCGTCGCTTGTTATTTTATCTCTGCGTTTATCTGCTTCTATTGTCTGGCCTCGAAAAGTTCGATAATGAAATTTAAATAATAATAATTTAAGCAACAAAATTTTTCGAGTAACAAGTAAAAATACATTTTTCAGTTAAAACAAGTTTTGAATTGTTATATATTATGTAATTATTCAATTGTTTGTTAATTATGGTGGATTTTGAGCCAATTTTTAACTCAATAATAGCTTTTCTAATTAAAATGCAAAAATTTCTAGTAAATATTTACAAATTTGCATTTATAGAGTTGAAATTTTTATAATTAAGTCATTAACGAAGTTGAGTCTCTTTCTGCTCATTTTTGCGAATTGATTGATATTTTTCTCGCTTTCAATGCCAGCGACAGACCTAACGCGTTTAATTGAATCAATAATATATGCACAAGTCACAAAACTATAAAATATGTCCAGCAGAAAAAATGTAATGCCCTTCACCTTCATTATATTTTTTGTTGTATTTTTTGAAGCATTATTTACTGCTAAAAAATTAAATTTTCTATGATTTAAAAAAAAAAATTTAATTTATGCAAATATTTTTACAGACTGAATTTAAATTATTGTATGAATACAAAACAAATATGATAAAAATGCAATGTTACAGTAAAAATTATAAAATTATGATTTTTTTTATTCATTAATTAGTACTTTCTGTAATAAATTTGATTATTAAACTTGCTATGGTTTTTCTTCTTTCGCAGGGTAAAATAATTTTTAAATATATCAGGAAAAAATAAGGACAAATATATCAAGTATAGTGACTTTCTTTCGTGTAAAAAAAAACAGAATGATATAATCAGAAAGTCTTTTCCGTGGCCTTTCTGTGTCATCAGCGTTTTATCCGGATCATATTTTATTCAACCCTTCAGCAGATGTCAATAACGAGGCGGCAGGCACTTCTTTGATTTAAGCTCATTTCGTCAGCAGTGCGTCTTTGTTATCAAAGCGCGAATGAACGATTTTGCCCAAGGCGCTGGCATAAGGGGGAAAAAAGGGGCTGACGCGCTTTGTCAGCAAAATGAGAAGTAATAAACTTCATAGTAAATAAACAAGAGGCCGAAATGAAAGGACGAGGAAGAAAATCAATATGTTGCACACTCAATTTGAAGCACTTGAGCGACGAAAACAAAAAAAAGGCGAAAATCCCTTGACTGGCGGAACGGAATTTCGGATTCGGAGACGCGGCGTTGACGTGTCAAACTCTAAAAGTAGTATCAACCTACTAATAAAAATCTAATTGGGTCACTCATTTTTCCCAACACGAATTTGATTTCCTCTCAAATGAAAAAAAAAACACCGCCTTGTGGAAAATTTTTTCCAAAATAATAATAAATAACTTGAGGAAGTTTTGTATCAAATATCTTGAATGAAGGGAATTATTTTGATCGGTGCGGATTATTTATTTAAACGGTTTATCTGACGGGATGGAGCGAGATTTCTTCGCGAGGGATGTAGAGAAGAAGAGAGAGAGCTGAGCGCTAATAATAGCTTGCTTCGCTCTGCGTGCTGACTCGCCGCGTCTCTCTTTTTCTCTCTCTTTCGCCACGAGGATGGACCAGCGAACGGACGACCGTCCCGTCACTTTGCATTATTGGTCGATTGTCAGCGACAATTACACCGCTGGCTTCATTATATATTCCGCTCAGCGACCGCTAATGAGTCCGAAAGCCGTTCAGTGACGCACGCCGTTCCGAAATCTTACTTAATTGCCACACTCGCGTCCGGTCCCTTATAGCTTTTGAGTGGTTTATCAGCCGCTGGAGCATCTCGCGGTCGCAGCTGTTTATCGTGGAAATTTATTTTCACTTCAATTAATCCAGAATCTTCCAGCAGCCGCGGGGACAGGTAGATTTTCGTCCGATTGCATCATCATTCCGCGTCCGGTTTTCGCCGACAAGATTTGCTGAAAGGGTTTTTTCTGCCGCGCGACCACATGTCCGTCGCGCGCGCATTGCTTCAACTCTGACAAACGCGCTTCAATTAAACACACAAACGCCGCCGAGACGCGCTCAATGAAAAATAAAATAAATATTCAGCGCCGCTCGCTGCAAAAAAAAGTGGTCCATTCTTTTTCGCAAACACGAGGGGACTCGGAACGCCCGCTAAATTTATTCCCATTGAGTAACCAAACAGATCTCGTGCGAGTTTTCAACGCCAATAAAGTTGCATAACAAGTACTGGAATTTTAAACAGGAAAAAACCAAGATTTTTGAAAAATTTTTTCATACAAAAAATCTATTAATATTGCAATTTAGTCTCATTATTTTCAGCCAAAATATCAACTTTCATTTTATGCATATTTATTCATGACAGGAATTAAATTTTCACAAAATTTAGCATGGAGCCAAAATTTAGTATTATATGATAAAAACTCAATTGATAAATTGATTAATAGCATCTTGTTTGTAAAAAATTTATAAAAGAAAATCTATTAAGATTTATAAGCATTGATATTCGTATTAATTAATCAAGAAAGCATTGATTCCGAACAGTATAAAAGATGAAAACAATGTTCCAAAATTATTTTCATAAAAATTGTACATAAAAATCTAAATACTTAATTAAAATTGGTGATATGAATAGTATGGTTTTTTTTCAAAGAGTTTTACATAATATAATTTTTTTTTTCAAATATTGTTTACGAATTGTTACAATAACTAATCATTGTGATATGTAACTAATTTTAGGAAACAAATCATTGACCTATTTGATCCAATGAATGATGGCCTGACTTAAAAAATAATATTTATATATTTTGAAGTGCAAATCATTTACTAATTTATAAAAAATATGAAAAATATAAAGGAAATTTAATATTAAAATTGATTAAAATCAAGTAAAAAGTATACATTTTTCACTTTCTAATTGTGTTATAGTTATAATTAATTATTTTCTGAATATTTTTTTAATATGATTTATGTCCAATTGGGCAGAGATTGTTTTCTGATTCTTCATAATAAATCATTTGCAATTAAATTTTTTGGCGATATCAAATTTCTGATGAAAATTTTCATTTCAGTAACTAATTAATTGCTTCATTTTCTCTGTGTTGCAATTAACAAACTAATGAGATGCTTTTGACCGCGAGAAAAAATCACCGACAGAGCTAGCGCAGTACGCGATTATTTAAAAATCTCGTTCTCGACAAGTTGTTTTCGGCACATTATCCCCAAGTGTTATTTGCTCTCTGGCTGTCTCACGGCTTTTGTGCGGCTCCTCTTTTGTTGTTGATGGTGTTTTGACGAGAGAAACATTGGGGCGGACTGCTTAAATTTTGTCAGGGAATTCCTCCCTCGGCGGAGGTCCCCGCGGCGAAAATGCTTTGGCAAAAAGCTGATTGGCGGTCTGCGAAACGGACGGCACACCTATGTAGTTGTACCAACGAAGAAATTCTAAACAATCGGCGCCGCCGCCGCAGCCACGACGGGGTTGACTGTGCAAAGAGCGGCTAAGTTGCAGCCAGGAAATTTGCTCCGGAAATGAGCCGCGTGTGTACAAACAAAGAAAGAGGTGATTACGCGATGAAATTCGGTGCGTGCATAATTCACGGGGTGAAAAAGAGAGCGAGTGGGAGCGCAAATCAAAGAGAAGGGATCTCGACAGAAAAGAGAGAGAAGCGCGATAAAAATAGCCATTCGGCGAGGTGACGAGATTAGCGTAAGGCCCAGCCAACTGGGGAGAAAATAATTATTCCTTTGACTCGCCAACGTCCAGCGGCATTATCTGGTCAGCCGCCTCCGGAGGCGGCACCCCCTCAAGGCTGTCCACGAGCCCTGGCTCTTAACCTGCAGGCTCTCTCGAGATAATATGGAGCGTATTATTAATGTTTGTGTCGCAATCGGAATTCTAATTAACCTGGCGCGGCGAATTTAATTGACATTCAAAGGTGATTTTACCTGAGGGTTTCCTCTCTTCGGAGGCCGGTGCTGTCAGTCGGAGGCTGCACCTGGGGGCGGACGAGCAGCTGACTGAGGAGGACGCTGTGGACGTCTACGAGAGAGGGGCCACCACGCCGGTCGAGCAAGCGAGACCCAGACCGCGCACTGGGGCTAATATTACACACGTGCTCTCTGCGCCGCTCTTCCCTCTGCGCCTCCTGCTTTCGCCCGTTGCCGCCTGTCCTCCCTATTATTATTATGGTTCACTTTAAATGCACGATTTCATTAAACGATTAGGGAGGGAAACTTTATATTCTTGTGTGCAATTTATTTAATTCTATTTTTATCAGATTTTTATGTTTAGTGCCAAAATTAAAATATTTTGCAGATATGATTAATTAAATATGATGTTCAATATGCCAAATTTTTTTACCTTGCAAGAAAAAAGATAATTAAAAATTTATCAGAGGACCAGAGCTCACAATCAGAGCAAGAAACTAAACTTGAATTACAAATTTTTGAAAATAATTTTTAATTTTCATTGGAAAAAAAATATATTATATTATATACATTGGTCTTTCCTGATTTTTCATGGATTTTGCAGAGGTCCTCCCTGTAGCTGCGAGTCTTCAAATTACCAATTTTGTCTTGAAGCTGTGTCCCAGTGAAAAAATGATTATTTTTACTGACAGCTTTGCATCTCAAGACTCATTTCTTCACATAAGACATATGCTTTTGTGTGACCCACGACCCTGGCCGCTCAGCGCTCTTGGTGGGAAATTTTCCATTACATATTTGTCTTGTACTCATAGTACTTTAATAATGCAATCTGGGACTCGACGCTCCATCGGGCTTCTTGACTGCTTCCTCCGGCAGCTAAAGATTTGCGTTTCCTTGGCATTTCCTAAAGAACCTGACGAATTTAATACAACTTTTAAAATAAATCTATCAAAGTATCACCAACATAAAACATACCTGAATTACCAGACACCGGCTACCATTCTAAAACAATAATGACTTATATTGTCGTCTCTTTGCTCTGCAGCAGAAAACGTGCGAATCCAAAATCACCTGTTTCCCTCCCAATTTCCCAATAACTTTTAAACAACTTTTAAGAATTGCGCGCTTTGCTTTATTCTCCACTGTGTGGTCACTTGTGTCACTTCTTCGGCCTCGCCTACTTTTGTATGTTGTTTCGTGGTTTTGTATTGGTTTTGTAATTTCCCATTTCCCACTATCCAATCAGGAAGCTCTAATCCAATTTCCCGCGTTGCCACTAAACTTGCCACGAATGGTCTTTATTGGCCTCCTGCCTCCTCTCGGTCCTCGGTCTTGGCTGTTAGCTGGAATTTGTAGTTTAAAAAACATTATAATATTAAATTTTTTCACTCATCTCGCGCTGGTTCCAGAGACTCCTGACATCAGTTTTCCTAAACTTTATTTACCAGAACCAACGTAATACTTTTTTCAACATGACAGTGATGAGAGCTAACAACGATTCTGCTCGTCAGCAGTCGCAGAAAACTTTCAGCTCTTTCATGTAAACAAAGAAAGGCGATTTTGGATTTTCTTTCTTTTCTAGTCGTTGACAGAGCTCCCCATCATAACTTGTCTTGTCCAAAACTAGTCCCAATATGTCAGTTACTGATCCACTTCTCAAAGATTTAAAAGGTATATTATTTATATTTTTTACAATAATAAATATGCTACAAAACTTATTTCCACCCACACAGGGCACGCTGGCAAATTTTTAACCACTCTGCAGGAAAGGGGAGCAGTCACAGATGATCTCCAATTTTTGCAACACTTCTGCGAAGCTCTGGAGAAAATATTCCAGCAGGGTTTAAACGAGAATTTCTACTCGGGTAAAGCAGAGTGCTGGAATTGGATGGAAAATATTGCTAGTCCACATTACAGGTATCACGATCACGGGAAATTTTAAAAGTTAATTAAGCTGATTTTATTATTTGTTCTGTTTTTACATAGAGCTCCGTACTTGTATTGTTCAACGGTGGCAAAGGTCAAAGAGACCGGACGAGTGCAAACGGACCGAGGAAGATTTAGACTGCTAGTACGTAACTGCTTAGTCTACCGAGTGCTGCACTACCCTGTGGAAGTGCTCTTGCAGAACCAAGCTCAATGGCGCACTTACCAGCCAAATTCGATCTTAGGCGATGAAATTTTGGGGCAGATTTTTCTCTCTGTGCTCTTGCAGTGCAGCAAAATCCAGTTCCACTTGAATCTCAGCAATGCACTTTTTCTCGACGAAACTTGGATGCTTCCACTGTATGAAAGTTTGGAGTTTGTGCCTTGCAAGGAATTAGGGCTTTGTGTTGGGTAAATTTTGTCCGATTGTTAAACTCAAACACAATAATAACACCTTGCAAATTTCAGATTTTCTGGTGGCAAGGGTGCACTCGTAGTTAAAGTTCACAAAGCTGGCGTTGCAGGGGAAGACGTAAGAAATTATTTTTGCCCTTAGCTCCTTCAATGATTTTTTACTTATATTTAGGATAAAGTTTTAATTGGAGACGTCGTCACAGAAATAAATGGGCTGGAAATAACCACTGCTACTCGAACAAAACTTGGCTCAATCATGAGACAAGCTGTTGGACAGCCAATCCAGCTAGGTATCCTTAAGGTGTGCTAAATATATACTATTAACTGCCATTACTGCCATTTCATCTTTCATCAAAATATTTCTTGCAGGCAAGACTAGCTGATGGCAAAATATTTCCTCCAATCCAAAAGCTTTTGCTGCAAATGGACATCCATCTGGAAGGCACCATCACCAAAAGTTATAAAACATCACAAGATACTTTGTAAGCTTAAGCTAGGAGCTATTAAAATATTTTCTCATATTTAAACTTGAAAATTTAGAGTGGGCTTCCCAGTTCACTTCTTAGGCGAAGTTTCTGTTGGTCCACAAGGTGACGTCAAAAAAGTATCCAAAGGCATCATGGAAATTGTGAGCACAACACCAGAAAAACAAAAGATGCTCATCGAAGTCATGGAAATGGGAGTTAAAGTCACAGATGCTGACAGTCAAAAAGTAACGATCTTAAATTTGTTGATAATTATTTCATTCTCTTATTTATATTGCAAGGTTGTCTTCCAACACTCTTTTATGGAAATTTCTTCTTGTGGAAAATCTGAACGATTTCCTCAATTTTTTGCTTATATAGCAGGGTAAATTTAAATTTACTTGGCTTTAAAATTATAATTCATTATCAATTTATATAGGGACTCATCTAGTTGCAACACATCTTCAGATTTCAAATGCTACGTATTCGACACAGCAAATGAAGAGGACATAGCAAATATTTTGTACAGTATTGGTAAGTTGACATTTAACTCTGCTTTTACAAACCATTTTAAAATGACAATAATGGTGGTCAAATTATCTCTCACGTGACTCACATCCTTATCAAAATTCCAGCTCAAGGCTTTCAACGCACCCACTGGGCAGTGTGAGAGAGGAATCGAAAGTGTCAACATGATCTCTCTCGCTCTGCTGTTGATGGTCTGTTTTGCCTGCTCCACTGATGGACGTCAAGAGAGACCGAACATCATAGTATTAGTGGCTGATGACATGGGATGGGGAGATTTAGGAGCTAATTTGCCACATTTAGCTTCAAGCACTCCGTTCCTGGACAATCTAGCAAACAGTGGTGTGAGGTGACAAGTGCAAAAGGCTTATATTTGCCAAAGATCTCATATTTGTATTCCAAAATTATACACTATTAATAAATTTAAAACATAATTTATGAAATGAATAAGCAAATTTTTATCTGGCTCATTTAATTTTCCAACGTAGATTTCAAGACTTTCACTCAGGAGCCTCTGTTTGCACGCCTTCAAGGGCTGCACTTTTAACTGGTAGGCTTGGAAAAAGAACAGGGGTGGTAGATAACTTTGTTCCTGATTCTGTCGGTGGTCTTCCAGCAGAGGAAATCACCATAGCCAAAATGCTAAAGAATGCTGGCTACAGAACAGCAGCCATAGGCATTGAAATTCACTTTGATTTTGCACACGTTATCATTTTTTGTTTTTATATGTTAGGCAAATGGCATTTAGGATTGACGTTTGGTCATCATCCTCTTGAGCATGGCTTCGACACCTACTTGGGTGTCCCATTTAGCATAGATATGGGCTGTACCACACCACCAGGTCATGACTTGCCCCCAAAACGCTCCTGCAAGCACACTTTGGAAAATCGTAAAATAATATATAAGTGGAAAAATCAATTATTAAAAAACTTTTTTTAGGAACCAAAAGTGCGTTTGACACAGCTCTGCCCTTGTACAAAGATAGGAACATTTTGCACCAGCCAGTCAAATTAAGTTTGTTGGCAAGATATTATAAAGAGTTTGGAGTCAACTTCATCAACAGGAACAGAGAGTATATATAATAATACTGAAAACAAAATTATATAGTGCGCAAATATATTTTTCTGTATCTTTTGAAAATTTTCAGCAAACCATTCTTTTTGTATGTTGCCTTTTCTCATGTGCACGTGCCTCTGGCGCATGGAGGAAATTTTAACAATGCTTCGTCTGGTGTACTTCAAAACTGTATTAAAGAAATGGACTGGATTGCTGAAGAGCTTGTCAATACTGCCGGACCAACGAACACCTTAGTTTGGTTTCTAAGTAAAATCGAATTGACTTTCAATATATTTGATATTTTTTTTTAATATGCTAATCTTCTCAGGTGATAATGGTCCATGGGAATATAAGTGCAGCTTAGCAGGTTCAGTGGGGCCTTATAAGGGACAGTGGCAAAAATCCAATGGAGGAGGATCGAGTGCTAAAACCACTCTATGGGAGGGTGGGCATCGAGTGCCTGCATTTATCTCTTGGCCATCCGTACTAACAGTATATATGGAGCATAAAAACACATTTTTTTTAAGTCGTCAATTATTTTTATTAATATTTTGACAAAAGAAGAAACATTCTACATGATGGTTATTTTGTTTATATGCGACTCATAAATCTTAATTATATAGCACTACACTATAAAATAAGGAGATATTAAAAAAAAATATTATTTTAAGAATAACACTATGTGCATGTACACATATGCTTATTTATGGATTATAATATATTCCCAAATAATAAAATAAATACATTTTAGGGGCCTGTCATTTCTGATGAACTTGTGTCTGCACTAGATTTGGTCCCTACAATATCTTCCCTTGTAGGGACCTCGCTGCCTAGCCACCACTTGTACGATGGCCAGGACATCTCATCTATAGTCCTTAATAATGGTCTCAATACGTCGAGTGGGCACAAGGTGGGCCTTCTTCTCTGTACTTTTTAAATCATCGTTAACAAAAGAGTTGAATCTAGATCCTGTTGCATCCCAGCAATGCTGATTTTGATGATGTAGGTGCAATTGGAGCTGTCCGGGTGGGCCATTACAAGGCAGTGTTTCACTCTGGAGGTGTGGAGGGATGCGGAGGACAGCATCTGCCACCTTTCCAGGTCCACAATCCACCTCTCGTCTTTGATCTTGCAATAGATCCCGAGGAACAATTTCCTCTTGAAGGGGCATTGAAAGGTACTTTTGGTACTTTTAATTGATATCCTTGAATTCACTGTCACTTTAAGCACTCTTTATATTTTTCATATTTTTTTTAGATGCAATAGCAGATGAAGCAATAAAAGCTTTGCAGATTTTCTCAGATTCTTTGAAAGTAGACAATTGCAGTGTGGTTGATTATTCAACAGACCTTGCTGTTCGTCCATGTTGCTCACACTTTCTTGCAAACTGCTACTGCCCTTGGGATGAGCTCATGTGATCTGATATAATTCTTGTACGCGAGAAGAATGCAAATTTTTAATTTAAAGTTTTCTGTTTTATTTACCTCTGTAAATCATATAACTTATTCAAATGCACCTCTCGTACACAAAAATGTACTAAATAGTATTATTTTTTCTATTACTGACAATGCGTAATGGTTCATATTATAACGTTAGAACTGATTTAAGTAGTTTAAAGAAGGATATCACAATTTATAAAAGGTCAGTCTTAAGTACTTGTTTTAGCCCCTTCTACTGATGCTTGAAGTTGCAAGTCGAGCCATTTCTGCAGTAGCCTCGTGCAAAATGTTTGCACACGTTGGTCCTCGGGCCACCCCTTGCAGGGAAAAATCCTCTTCCACCGCGTGCATGCCCTCTGCCTCGGAAGCCCATGGGCCCAGGAGGTGCCCAGTTCCCTCCAGGTGGTCCAAAGTTGGCGCCAGGGGGAAATGGCATAAAATTTGGTGGAGCTCCACCAGTCGGCATCATATTTGGAGGCATCATGCCTCCCATCATCCCATTCATGTTAGAGAAGTCAGTTTGAACATTGAAATTTGGTGTTTGGTAGCCAAAGTTTGCACCCATTTGGTTGCCAGTCTCATATCCGGTGTTGAAACCTTGCTGTGGCTGGAATGGAGCTTGCTCAGGCACCGCCATCCCAATTACTTGTCCGTCTCCAGTCTGAAAATAAAATCATATTTTTATATATTCGTACAAGTAAAAAAAATTCCAATCTTACCCTCCAACCACCACCAGTTGCACTAGTCGGTATTACAACTGGTACAGATGGAGCAAACTGCTTTGACTCAACCCATGGAAGGTGGGAATAGTCCTTAACACTATCAGGGTTTCCAGTCAAGTCATCGAGAGGAATAGTTTTAGGGTCCGTTGTTTCGTGATTTTCAAAGTTTGGCTCAGCAGGTGAGTCAGGAATCCTATAATAAAAAATAAAATAATTTATTTCAAATATAGTAAAATTTGGTTGTTAAGAGAAAAGCGAAATTTTTCTACAAGTATCTTTGATTGATTGATAAATACTCACGATTCAGGGGAAAAATAAATGGCTTGTAGAACAGTTTTCTCCCTTTCTTTTTGCAGATGCTTCTCAATACTGTCTTTGCCTATTTCAGTTAAAGGAGGAGGGCAGTCTACTTCAATAAGTCTCCATGGAATGTTGGTCTCTATCACTTCAGGTTCAGAAACTTAAAAAAAGACAGAACAAAAGTTAGCAAATCTGCATACCTTTAATAAAAATTTCCTTACCCATTTTCTTGGCATTAAACATGCTCTCCCTCTCAAAAGCTGCATCTGACTTTGTCATGTCACCACCCATTTTAGTAACGTTTACTGAAAATAATAAAATATTATAAAACTAGATCAAGAAGACGTCTTTCTTTTACCTCTCTCAGTTTCATCAAGCTCAAAGTATTGAATGCTGACAAGTTCATCGTCACTTTTGAAGCGCACAGTTTTCTTGACCCTTTCCAATGATCTGTGTATGACTAACACACCCTTTGTTGGGTCGGCAGTTGCTTCATTCGACTCGGTGGGCTCCTCGACAATACCTTCAACTGGTGGAGTGGGTGCTAGTGAAAAAAAAAATAAAAGTTAGCTCGCTAAAACATATATAGTGAAAAATTTTATACTTCTACTGGATGAGCTATCTTTATTGTCATCCACGTTGTTATCCATCTCCTTGATATCCACAGCCTCCTTTGAATTACTTTCAAGCGTGTCAGTGTAAAATTTAAAAACTGGTCGCACACTTGTAGGCGAAGGACTGCTTTTATCACTCTTCTTTTCTTTGACAGTTTCGCTGCTAGAACTTTTTGCAGGAGGAGTATCATCCTTGCTAGAGCTTATGCGACGTTTCCTCTTCCTAGGCTCAGTCTTTGCACCTGCATTGAGCGCATCCATGAAGAAATTGCTTTCTTGAAGTAACTGGATCCCAGCTGAAAGAGTTGCAAAATAGTGAATATTTATTAACAGGATTCAAAATCAACACTACTATCACAGGAGCAGCAGGCATCAGACAAGTAGAGTGGCATAGACAATCAGAGCTTTAAAAAGCTGCAAAAAATAAAAATAGCACCAGACAGGTGCATCCATTTAAATAAAAATTTAATGAGGGACAGTTGAATGTTTTTCCGGACCCTTCTTTAATCATATTATACAACTCCTTGCAACATTGTGTTTTTCCTTTCTAAAATTCTGATTTTACTTCCATCCCGACGTTTAACATGTGTTAAATGCCGCAGCCAAGCAGAAAACTCTTAGAAGTCCAACGAGGGGATTCACAATGAGAGATTTCCAATATTTCATTTGTTTTAATTTTGCTAGATGATCAACCACCAGCAGCATGGTTGGATTGCGCAATGGCTGTCCTTGGCAAGCCCAGACGTCACTTCACAGCAGAGACATGTATCATTTTCCATTATGTGCTCAATTTTTGCTCCATAAATATTATCTCCTTTAAATTTAAGTTTGGAAAGTACAGCACACTGAGGTGTCCAACTATGCTTCGTAAAATATGTACTTTAAAAAGTAAATATTTGTGGGTCTTCTACTTGTTTGTATTTGCTAGTCAACGCATTGCAAATCAATGCAACATTAAATTGCAAAGATTACTCATTTAAAATAACCACAGAAATGATTTTAAAAATTTATCGATTCGTCTCTTGAGAGACTGTAGCAGCTTATTGTCATCTGCATTTAATTTCAATTCAAAAATTGTACAGAATAATATGGAGCTTATAATAATTTTTCTTTGTTTTATAATTTATAATATAGTGTTAAAAATTCAAGAAGTGGCCATGACTTTCATAGAATCCTTTATTTTCAAATACAGCCAGGAATCAAGTTCAATCTATAAAAATGAACTTTCCCGGCGCATTGCCCCTCCCAATATGTTTGAAACCTTTACAAGTAAAGAACTTATTCTTTTGTATAAATAATTTAATGATTTTTTCTCTGGCCATAGGAGGGGCAATGGCCTCCGAGATAAGTTGCTTACCTCAAGCTGCAAGTTATCTTAGGTCAATCACTCTGATGTCTTCTTAGTCGCCAGTGACAGGAAGCATGGCTTGCTTACCTTTAAGGCCTCTAAATAAACCCTCCAAAACCCCCAAAATTAACAAACAAGCATTGTAACGAAGTGCCACTCTACTTTCCTTGCTCTGTTTTGCCCCTGCAACACAAAGACAAATCCTCCACAAAGGAAGGTTAAGTCAAGCAATATATAAAATAATTTAAACTTACGCTTTGACTTAGGTTTCTCGTTGACCCTTTTGACAACTTCATCCAGTTTGTTCTTCTTTTCTGGAGGTGCTTGCTCTGTCCCACTAGGTGGTGGTGACGGTCTCTTTTTATTGCTAACAGAGGAAGAACTGCTGCTTTGATCCTTGAGGTCCTTTTTCGAATGCCCTCTTGGTGGCGGCAGGGGCGACTCTTCTTCCAATCCAGTCGATCTGAACTTGGAATTAAATGTTTTTACTTTATGCTTCACCAGCTGCAAAGGCGAGGACGATTTTGAAGTATTGGGTGATTTTGAATCTTTTTTTTCTCTTGACGAGCTGCCCGATGAACTTCTTCTGCTTTCAGACTTTCTCCTGTCATCATCCAGAGAACTCCGTCTTGACGAGTCTTCGTCTTTCTTCTTCTCGTCAGACTTTTTCTTGTCTCCGTCCTCAGACTTGGATTTTTTGGGAATTTTTCTAAGGCTAACCTTTTGCGGTCCCATTAACTTGGCTAATGTAGCCTCGTCTCTTTCTTTCTGCTCTTGCGCCTCCTTAGCCTTTAGTGCTTCACGTTCAGCTAACTTTTCTTTTAGCTTTTTCTGCTTCTCCTTAAACAAGCGATCTTTCCTTCTCTCTTCTTCTTCTCTTAGCTTCTTCGCAGTCATTTTCTCGTTCACAGCAGCTGGTTTCTTTTTATCGGCATCTGTAAAATCTGAAAGCACTAAATCATTGGGCTTCAGCTGTTGCTTTCTTCGGGCAGCTCCTTTTGGACCTTCTGGCACAGGAGATGCATTAGGTAACACTTTCACTTCGGAAGGCTTTGCATCAGGAATGCTGGCAGAACCAGCACTCACTTTTGCTAGAACATGTTTACCATCTCGAAATGTCAGCTTATAAACAGGCAGCTCGCCCAAAGGCTTTGAAATAGGTGCATCATCGGCTGGCGAAATGTGACCATCAATCTCTTCGTCCTCTTCCATCTCAGCACCTTCCTCCTCCTCCTCCTCTTTGCTGACTTCCAGCTCAACTTCCTCCTTGCTAAGGACCTGATGTGGATCCTCATCCAAAGTCACCTCAATGGGCTGAACAATGGCCTCAGCTGCTTTCAACCGAGCATTATTGCAAGTGGCCTCAATCTTCTTCAAGTCGTCTGGTTTCAGCCCTTGTTTGGCCACTTCAATCCACTGCGATACTATTTCAGCAGCCAACGTCTTAACACCTGGAAAAATTTTATTTTCTACATGTAAATTTTTATGTTAAATTGAAACAAATTATACTGGCAGTTAAATGAAGAAAATGTACGCTAAAGTGTTAACACATATTTAAATTACTTGAATTAATAGATAATGTTTGCAGGCTTTAATTATATCTGTAAATGAAAAATGAAATGCACCACAAGCAAGTTTGGATTGTTGTCATTAAGTACTGCACAAACTAAAAAATGTATGTAGATTGTGGAAATACTTACGCTCATTAGGTGCCATGTTGGTCAATGATTTGACTGAACGTGGACAGTCATTAATCTCCAGCAGGTTTAGAGTCAGCTGGCTCCTCTTTGTCAGACTCAGCAGTGTCTCCAGCAGAGGACCGTTGTTGCTATCCACAGCATCAATTATCCACTGACTGACCAATTCCCAGCCACCATCGTTCATGAAAATGACTAACAAGTCCTGTTCGGTGGCGTGTAAGATCTCCACATAGACACATTTGCTGACAAGTTTCTTCGAAAATTTGCTCATCAAGCTGTAAATAATACAGATTTAAGTTGTTATTCAGCATGATTTAAAAAAAAATATATATAATTAACTAAATCAATGAAATTACAAAACATTGCCTTAATTATTTACCTGACAATTCTCACAACATCTGCTCTGCTTTTTATGCCTCCCTTAAAGTTCAGCAAAACGCTCAAGCACTCTAATAAGGAGTGAGGATCAATTCTGGGCTGAAACAATGAAATGAAGTTTTATTTTTGATATATTTTAAGAAGTTTAAATCAATAAAATCTAGATTTATTTTCAAAGGGCGCATTGCAAACCAAATTTTAGGTTGGAACATGGGGGATACTCGCATGCTAAGTTAGCACTGGTTAGCACCAGCAAATTCGATAAGCAAGTTAGCAAGCGAACATCCCCCTTTGTGTTCTTCTCGGTTGATACAAGAATTAAAAAAAAAAATTAAGTAAAAATGTCTGCTTAAATTCCAGACACTAAAAGAGACTCAAGAATATAAATAGAATTGCAATAATAATTGTTTTCAAAATGATATAGACTAATTTGTTATTTGCAGTAATTAATCGCAAAGCCTTTGAATTGCGATTTGATTTTGAATATTCCTGCTCATGTATATGCTGGTATTAATGAGTGCCAGCAAAGATTGCAGGGGATTTTCATTTTGAAACTACTCCCATAAGCAAGCACAAATTCACAAGCCATCGTCTCGAGCACTATTTCTGCCGCCACCATCACCATGATGGGCGCCACCAGAGCCCTCTGTTGTAGACCCTCAAACTCCAAACACAGACCCCGTAGCAAAACACAAACTTTTCATTTTAATCATGGCAAGCCTGGAGGCGGAGGCACTCCAAAAAATGGAATATGACTAAAAGATTTCTTTTAGTAGCCATAAATAATTATTAAATATATGCTAGCGCACATTTTATAGTTTAATACGAGAGGATAGAATTTTTATCTTTAATACTTTAATAGCGTCTCAAATAATAATTACCATTTTTAATAATATTACGTAGATTGGCTCGGGGATTTAAGTTTTCCACTGTGGATTGTCTGAAACCAGCAGATAAACTTAAGAAAAAAGGATTGTTCGCCGCAAAAATATTTAAGGCAGCTGATAATTCATGTAAGCAAAATGGCGACGATGACGTCACAATTTTGCGCAGCAACCGAGGTGCGGTTAAAAAATATCTATTTATAAATTAGGTTTCTTAACCGTTTAAATTAAGTCGCTTCCAAGCTTGATTATCTTAATAATAGTTATTTTAGGTGTAATTAAAGGCAGGTTGCCCTCAATTATTAATTACAACTACTGCAAGCACCGATTTTTTAGAAAAACGAAAATGATACATAATTTACATAAAATATTCTTTTTCCCTCCACTTACTATCATTTCAGTAAAATTTTGTCTGCGTTTTTTTTATAGAATGCGAGCGTTGGTTTTTATATAAGCTATCTGCTCGGGTTCATCGCACGTTTAGTGGAATTTCAATAAAACTCGGTGATGACGAATCACCAAATAGATAGAATGTTGGATGTGGGGACGGGGGTCAACAGATTTGTCCAAATGAATGCGTTGAACCTGAAAAAAGAGAGGAAATAATTAGGAATACACGAAGATTGATGTTCACTTAATCGAATTCACGCACGCACAAAATCAGATGTGTAACCACAACCTCAAAATTCATGGATTTTAGGAGGAAAAACTTATGGGCTTACCTTCTCCTGTTCTACTACGCTCGACCATTGGAGTATTTGGAGTGACGTCACGCAGTCGCAGTGGATGTGAAATCGTGAAAAGACGGAAGTCACGTGACATGGCCTAATTCAAACTCTCATTGGCCGAGAGAACGGTCGGGGGCGTGGTGCTATCGACTGGCAAAGTGGCCAGCTGCGCTACCTTTGTTGTTGTTAGGTGTAAATATTAATGTGTCAAAGAGCTTGGATTTTTGGAAAATGGGGAAGGAATTTATCGATTTATGACTCCTCTAGTTCGACGCTTTGGCACTTTATGTGAAAAGTGAAGTTCGAGTCTGTGCGCAATCGGTCGCCTTGGTAAAACATTATTAAATGAGTAACCGAGAAGTGATTGATTGATGAATCTGGTAAAAAATAGACCCACCGGTCCCCTCGACAGCCACTTGAGTTGATGTGAGAGCGATGCACCTGCTGCACCTTACACCTGCGACTTGAACAACTGTGGCATAATATTATCTGACTCCTGGCTCGAAAATGGAGAACATTGGCATTCACTACACTCGCATTAAAAGCAATTGTAATTATTTTATTTGAACCAGTAATGCAAATTAATGCTAAAACTTTTCTCCGTTTAAGGCTTAGCAGATACGATATTTGATCCAGTGACACAGCACATGAAAGCTTGGCACATTTATCAGCATGAAATGAAAATACATAGAGCGAAACCGAGAGAGAAGTGCCATGTTAATCCAGGGAGAGAGGCTGCTTTGGCAAAGAATGGTTGTGTACCTTCAATTACACCACCTTTGCGCAGCTTTAGCAGGTTAATAATAAAATTTATATTTATACATATAAAATTCAGGCTGATAGCTAAAAGTTGTATTATTTCAGACTAAGCTTGCGAGCAACTAATAGAAGCTCACCAGCTTCAATGAAGAGTCAACAGTCAGCCAAGCCGAAATGTAAAGTTATCTCTTTTTCATCACATTTAGAGAGCCACAAAAAACATGGAGATTTCATCAGTGAAATGACATTCAAACCTAAAATCCTTGCTACTCCAATTCCGTCAAAATTAAAACAATCTCGCAACTATCAACCACCTAAGAAAAAATCTCATGCCAAATCCAGACCTGTAAGTGATTTTTACTTTTGAATAATTTTTACTAGTATTTTCTTCATTCATCCTCACAGGGCTCTGCAATTTCTTCAAATTCAAATGGATCCGAGAAACAGGATAATAATAGGAATGTGCAGGAGACTTGGTCGAGGAGCAGATTAGAGAGTTCTTCGTCCTCATCTACTGGTTGCGATTCGGCTTACGAAGCTGGAGGTTCTATTGAAGGTTTAAGCCCACAGTCAAGAGGATCAACTCCTCAGCCTGAAGATGAATATCAACGCCCAAAAGTCATAAGCAAAGACGTAAGTTTAATGTTCTGTTTCCAATACCAAACATATTATATTTTTGAGATAACAATTTTGAAATATATCACACCATATTTTGGTTTATTTTAGGATGAACTATCGAGAATTGTTGGAGAAGAGATTGAGGAAGCTATCGAGGAAATTATTGAGAGACCGAACACTCCAATTAATCTAATGGAGAGGTACCATAGATTCTGTGAATAATAAATTTAATAAAACCTTAATATTTTTTTCCACTTTAAAGAAACGAAGACCTTGATTACATATTGTTTGAGCACGACATGATGAGTGAAATTGCATTGACTGGTGTTGTGACCAATTTAAGTGTTAGGGAGCTTTGCAAATCATTTGCCTCCACAAGAGGGAAGTCACTTGAAGACTCCAAGGTAAATGAAATCATCAATAGAGTACAAGAAACACTTGGTATACCTGATAATGAGAGCCTCGATTATTTAGATTTTGGTTTTTCCAACAACCCCAAATTTTAGAGCTAACTGAAATGAGTAGCAATCATTGTGATAATCAGTCAATATAATATATGAAAAACAAATATTTTTTATTGTGACGTCTTATGCACTTATATGGACTTTCATTGCTTTAAGTTAACACTAATCACAATAGAAGTTAAATGTTATGCTTATTTTTTAAATGACACAACCAAAGTTTTCTATTGAACTTGTATTTTATTGATTTTCAAAAATACACCTTCTATGCTATGGTAATTGCCGATATTCATGAAAAATAGCACTGCAAATAAAAACAATAAAATGATGATCTCTAAAAAAAAAAAAAAACAGAAAATTATTTCTGTGATCCTTCATATATTATAACTTTTCTTGGGAAATTATTTTTCACATTCAAACAAAAAATAAAAATGTTAGTTGGAAGCAACATAGCTGCTTTTCAATTAAATCAACTAATCACAAGTTATTATGTCATTAGTTAAAAAATTGCCTTGCAGTCATACTAGGGAAACTATGTATTCAGACAACAAAGTATGTAGTTTGTTTACAAGAAGATGACTTTCTTGTGTGACTATGAAATTGCCCAAATTCATTAATTATTGCCATTAGAAAAATTGATATTATTTAACTAAAAATAAAATGGGAAAATTTTAATTCCTTTTAAAACCACATAAGAAAGAGCTTGAAGAGCTTTCTATATTATCCCACATTGTCCAGTTTTACTGGGTAATGAACTAAACATTAAGCATGAAAACTGCCCTAATACCAAGAAGTATAAAAATTATTTTATGCTTCTTGCATAGTACTGATTGCTGATCAAATAATCAGCGATTTAAGTTAAATCATTTAACGACCCTTAAATTGATTATTGATTCAATCCAAATTAATTTTTGAATTTATTATAATCATGAGATGAGGAAAAACCAATTTTCACTTCAAATTCATGCATTTTTTACAGTTATCAGATAGGATATTTTTTTATTTCATCCTTGTAGAGAATGGACCAAGGAAAGGATAAATGTTCCTTTGTGTGCCACAATTCTCTGCGCACTATTTACATTTTATAATTCCTCAGTCACAAACTGCCTTTATTTGTGAACATCAGGCAGCGATTTTTAATTAAAATAGTTTTAATTAATTTGCAGGATTTTGTGTTTTTTTTTTTTGCATTTTTTTGCACAAAATTGCAATTATGAATGCGACTAATCTTCAAAAATTGGGCATCATTAGTGGTTACAAAACCTTTTTATTTGGTTTTCCTTTTGTTTTCAGGAAAAAAATTCAATTGCAACTGGCCATCACAGCAATGTGTAAATTTAAAAATTAATTTTGTGCATTCATCTGCCCACAATATTCAATTGCTGAAGAGGTCAATAATTTTTAACTTTAAGAAGCATTTCATTCTATATGAAAATAAACAGGTTATTAAACTGGGTTCCAGCCCCAGTCTGTTCCCTTTTTTTGTGATACAGTCGACATTTTGAATTAGTAACAATTTACTACAATCCATCAGAGGATAGACGTAATTATTACAATGGATTATTTTCAAAATTTCTTTAGTTTAATATATTCAAAAATATACTTGCATTCTTGCCAAAAGGTTATAAACGACAAAATCCACACTAATTGTAATGTGACGTGATCACACGAGACACGACAAATAATATAAAGGACGGTCAATAATCAACATTAAGTTATAATATAAAACTTGCATACTTCTTTGTAGTAGCAGAAATTTGTATTAAACTAAAGGTGGGATAAGCAGGTAACTCAAAAAATCAGAGAGATATTGAAGAGCCTCCCTGAGATAATTCAAATTTACTGTCTTTCACATTTTTTTTTAGCATCACAACGTTAGGAACATATTGCTGCTGCTCTCCTTTCTTTTATGTCATTCATTTTTTTCTAACAGTATATAATTTTTTCATAAAAATAATTGTGACAAAATAGAGCATCAAAATTCAACCCGTAACATTGGAAACAAAAACAACCTAGGAATCTGAAGATAAAAATACAAAAATAAAACGAACCTACGATTGCCAATTTTTGGATGAACTTATATTGATTGGCTTGCGTAATAATGAGTAATAGCAATTGAGAACAGAAAAAAATTGATTTATATAAAAATTAACAAGAAAATAATAGTTGTAAATAAATTTAAGACTAACAAAAAATCAGATTATTCATTTCAAAATTTTGTTGGTTGAATACATAATATTTTTTTACTGGTTTAACAACCAGTTAAAAGAAAAATTAAAACAATAGAACTCAAATAGATTAAAATGATATTTTTGTTTTTGAAATCAATGAAGTATCGAGTTTTTAAGAGTTGGCAAAAAATCGCTGACCAAAAATTTTAATTCATTAAATTCATTTTAACATTGATGAAAAAATGGCAATTTTTTATGTTTATTCAAAATAGCATATATGCAAATATTGCTACTTGATATATCAAACACGAACCAGCATGTTTGATGGAGCTCCTTCCTATAATGTCTCCCATTTTTAATTTTCAAGCATAGTTTTCTAAAATTTTTGAGGCATTCTTCACTCAAAGAAAATGAAGACAAAAACTAAAAGGTAAAACGGGCAACAAAGGTAAAAAAGACTAAAATAAAGTCTCAGCTCCCATCACTTGCGTTACTGGCATTGCTATTGCAGTCATCGAAATCGGGAGGTGCAGGGGCTACTTGCAACACCCTGCTGAGATGAGTTACGTCGGACAGTGTAAAGTCAGGGTTGGCCTGAACAGTAGAATTGACTACCTCTGGCGGTTTGATCCAGACAGTGGCAGCTAAAATCTGACCACCCAAGATGTCCGTCTCGAGCTTGTCGCCAATCATGATGGCTGCCTCGGGCTGAACCTTCAGCATTGAGCATGCCTGCAGGAAGATGTTTGCGTGTGGCTTCTCCCAGGGCAGGTCACCTGACACGAGCACCAAGTCGAAAAACGGCTGCACCTTGAGAAGTTGGATTTTCTCCCATTGCGAACGGGACGAGCCGTTGGTGATAAGAGCCAGCTGGAAGCGCATTTCCTTCAGTGACACAAGCAACCTTTGTACTTGAGGTGTCAAGGCCAAGAACTGGAAACGCAGCTGCAGCCACAGTCGGTAAATGGGACCTGTGAAACAAAAAAACTCACGAGGATCACCAAATGAGCCTTAATTTATTAAACCTGAAAAAAATCCACTTCCATATCTATGTAGTGGAAAAAAGAGCAAATTTTTATAAAATTTCAGGGATGGGGGTCAGATATTTTTTTTACACTTTTAGAATTGAAGGGATTGTTTAGGAATTACAGACAGACTTGAGGCACAAAATATGAAACTATTTTAATGATGCGATTGGTCTTTTGGACTGAAATTAATTCGGGTTTTCATTTAAAAGAATAAATATTTTATTCTGCTTCCCTTAAAAAAAAATCCTATATATAAGCAATTGAGGCTCAATAATCTTTGCAATGAGAATAGCTTGGTCCCTGAAATGCATTATTAATTATATATGTTTAAATCCACTCAGCACACTTCTTACTCAGCATTCTTAATAGTGTTGATTTGATGACACAAAGCCCTAAATTAAATTTTTGATTTATTCAATAACTGTGTTTGAGAGACTTACCAAAGTGAATGGCAACAAGTGTTTTAAAGAACCTACAACAGTTAAAAAGGCAATTTTCATTTTACACAACTGCAAAAACAACAGCAAAACTGTTCCCATAACATATTAGATATCATAAGCAAAACGCATTAAAAACTCGAGCACAAACATACCCTTGAGAGCATGCTCTCAATAAAGTGATATTTTGCAAAAATGCCATGGCAAGGTGGAGCTAGCACAGAGATGATTCTCTCACTGCAACACTAAAAACTCCATTACTTGGAATTTGTGGCGCCCGGCAGAATTAAACCCAGCACTTGTATGTCATATGTGAATGATTTTTTCATGCTGGTGCTAACTCTGGGCCGGACAGAAGTGGTATCAGAACATAATTATAAGGAATCCAGGATCCATATTGAGGAATCATATGGTCTATTGACCCTTCTCACCTGCTAGGTGCCTATAATCATTTCCAAGTGCTTCGACCCAAAGCAGGCGACGCCACTCGTCCAGACACTGGCTCTCCTTGTTGTCAGGACATTTTCGGAAAGCGTGCAAAAATTTTTTCGTCGAGTCGTGCGCTAGATCGTGTGGCATGTTGTATTGCTCTCGTAGGGTAAAGCATATCTAAGGATAAAAAGAAATTGTATTAAATGAAATTGACAATTTCCTTCAAAAGAAAATTATGGGCACCAGCCAGATATAAATATTCTTCCGCAAAATATAATATAAAAAAGCAGTATTTCTCATTTTTTTCAGAATAAAAGTTCCATGAATAAGTAGATAAGGACACAATTGCTTATTATAAATTTTAGGCATTTTTTTATTTTACAAAATTCTTTTTATTGACATCTTCAAATCTATACATTTTTTATTAAAAATCTCGGCGGAATAATTTCTTACACCTCAGGAGACTAGTTGGAAGTAAAAATAAACATTAATTAAGAGAAATGTACAGCTCGCTTCAAAAGTGTGGGATCTTCCTCTTGAAACCACCATTCATCATAATCAGACTTTTTAAAAGCAATAAAATATTATTGGTAGTTAAATTAATCAGATGAAATCCATGTAGTTAGCGCTCATTAGCCTCAAGAGACAAAAATGGTCAATTCATATTCATATGCAGTTTTCGGACCAAAAATTTAAATGCTTTAGTCGCCAAACAGCTTTTTGCCCAACTCCATTAGTCGGTGATTGCGGCACACTTGCAACGCATCTTTGTCCTTGAGCATGGTGGCTACTGAAGGACTTGCCTCAACTAGGTGGCACAGGAAATCTTCAAACGCAGATCGCGTGTTACCAGGGAAGTCACCGACACGAACACGCTTTAAAGTGTCCATGATGCCTTCCACCCATCCGCTCTCAATCGCAAACTGCGAAACCCAAGGTATCAACACAAGGACAGCGCTCATCGTCTGCATTCCCAAAAACCAAAGCTCCATCAGCTCCATCCAGTATTTCTTATATATTGTCGATACTGTTAGGGGGCCCAATGAATTATCTCCATGCTCTTCAACAACATATGCGTCCCAAAGAAACCGCATCGTAGCAGTCAAGTACCGGCAGATTGTGTAGTCGTTTTTGCTCTGCCGTGCCGAGAGCTGCTTAAGCAACAGCAGTCCCATAACAGCAAGATTTCCCTGCAGCACAAGGTTCTCAGGTGATGACTTCAGCTCCGGGAGCTTGTTGAAGAGGAACTTCAGTAGCTGGTTAAATGTAGCACTCTGGTCAACTAATTTGGGCTCGAGCACGGTTATATTCATGAAAATATTGCATAACGAAACCATTGCCGAGCGAGCGTCATCTATTTCTTCCAGTTGGGCAGGTGTAAGAACGACTTCAACTCTTTGTTTTAGGCGGTCTGCTCGCGGGATAACAGGCTTCTCAGGTTGAACCAATAGCCAGTAATACTGAAGGCAGTCAAACAAGACCTCGTCCTGCAAACATTTTTTTATGAAAAATCAAATCCCATATAAATAAATCAAATAAATTAATATATAAAATGTATTTTCATGCTTTGTCAGTAGAACGGATATTCCTCACTTGCATTCAGTAGAACGAAAGTTAATTATAGAAAACATCATTCAGAGCATGAATAATAGTGGATCCATCTGGGATCGATCTCACTACCTTTTGATCACAAGAACAATAAGTAACCATGAGGCCACGAGGGACTCAGGTTCTTGGATTAAAATTATAACCTTAAAAATTCACCTGTTTCATTTTCAGCATTGCTTGCCTGGCCGGTTCCTCGACTGTCAGATGGCACAATGCTGGCAAGAAAAGTCGGAGAACATCTACATCTGTGCTGGACGCTTCCAAGTTTTCGGCTTTTCTTTGGGCTGTTGCTCGGAAGGTTTCGTTGGCCAGTTCCAAAATAAAAGGCAGCAGTTGGTGGACAGCTTGTCGTAATGCAGACGTCTCTTGAGCCAGCCAGGCAGCCAACACCCTGATGCTGGCATAAACAAACGCCCTTTCCGTCGGTCCCAATTTATCCTTCATGGTCATCAACTTTTGAAGGAGGCCAATTAGAGCTGCAAAGGCGCCTTTCAAAGCTGTGTAGAGCTGCTGCTTTTCCTTTTGCTCAAGTTCAAATGTCGGAGTTGTTGCCACATATGCAATTGCTATCTCCATCAAGTTGAAACAGGCCACCAGTAGATCAGCATTTTTCATCACCTGCTCGAACGTGCGATCTTCGACCTGCATGCGGACTTCAATGGAGCAGAGCTGCACTAGCAGGAGAAAAAACGCTTTGGGCTTTTCTTCATCTGTCAAGGCCCATTCAACTCCAAGCAGTTCGATAATCATCGAGGCAAGCTTCAAGGACGGATCACGTTGCTGCTTTCCGATTCGGCTCGTTAAAATGTCCGAGAGCGACTTGTAGCAACCCGAAGGCCACGATTGCTCTTTAGCTGTGTCTCGTAGAATTTGTCGGTTGCTGTTGTATAAAAGGGTGTGCAAAATTTCTGCCAGCTCAAACTTGTGCTCCGAACTGTCAGTTTCCATATCCATGCTGATTTTGTTAAGTAGTGTGTTGAGAGCCTGGCCATCATCACCCCAAGCAGAGGGGCCAAAACGAGAAGCGAGTCTGCAAACGATACCAAGGGCTTCGTCGGACTCAAAATTCTGGTCTGCATACGCCTGCGCAAACTGAAATTAAAAGAAATTTAAATAAAATTAGACTTTTTATGATTTTAAAAATGCAGGCAGTACCTTTTGAATAGCGCCAATTTCTTTTAATTTTTCCAAACCAGAATCGTGCAGAGCCACGTGCTTCAGGCATTCGTAGGTCTCGGAAATAACCTGCAAATTCTCCTCCTCGTCATCTTCAAGCTGGATGATTTCAATCAGTGTGGACAAGTTGTCGAGCATTTGAGGGTGCGTGGCCACTTCAGGTTCATCACAAAAGCAGCTGAGAACAGAAACCGCCACAGACTTGTAAATTTGCGGAGGGCAATCCTCCAGAGCGTCCGACGTGAGCAGGAGGCGTCGAAGAAAGTCAAATCCAATGGCTTCGAAGAGCTGCTTTTTGTTATCAGCAGACAACTCTTTAGCCTTGATCACTTTGGTCACCATGAACAGGCCGGCGAACTTCTCCGTATCGTTCTGCGCCCCCTTCAGCACCGCACAGCACTTCTTCACCGACATTTTTCCGCACCTCAGTCCATCCAGTCAAATCAGAGAAAAAGGTCAGCAAGCACTCAGGTTCGCATTCCACGTCCTTCCTGCGCGAGCTTGAGAACGGTGACCGAGTTAATTTTACGCACCAGTCTCCAATCCACGGTCTAAATTCGGAGTCCCCTCATGGAGTTAAGTTTCCCCCTCGACGTTCCTCCCCGCCTCCAATGGGTTCAACAGCCCCCGCAGCTATTATTAGACGAGGGCGGCCGTGCTTTGAGCAGACCCTCTTGTTTGTGGCGTGTGTCGGACGCAGATGGCTGGGCTAAATGCTGATCGAGGATCGAGGAACAAAATAAAGCAACTGATGGCTGCAACTCTCGAGCCTCGCGGAGGACGAAGCGCACGAGGCGCCACGCTGAGGTAAAAGCTCGAAGTCTTGCCTGTCAAGGCCGTATGTCACTGACAGCTGGTTTTTAGCTACCTGACCCGCTGGCTGGCACCCCAGGACCACCCTTTTAATCCCAGCTTACCTTCTCACAGGCGAGCTTGTCTCCTCTTTTCGTCGGGATCAGGGTGTTGTCCAAATCGAAGAAAATCGCAGAAATATTGGCGGAAACAATTCTCGTACGTCTTACCCTGCCTGCCATCTTTTCACTTTTACGTCAATCTGCTGACGTCACAGCGGGACAGACCAATCGGGGTGCGGTTTTAAGCGCAGGCGGGTTTCCCAAGGCCAGTTCGAAAGATTATCCATGTGCAAGTTCGTGTCCTTGGACATATTTAGCTCAGAGGTGCGCCTAATAACAAGAAAATCTTCTGCAATAATACCATTTATTGCATCATAATTAAACGCCTTGAGAAATAGGCAGCCATTGCAAAAAAATTCTACGCCTTAGTTTTTTTGCTGCTGAAATCGATTTCACAATAGGGGAAAAAAATATAAAATTTTTTCCACTTACATAACATGTTGTGGTCATAAAAACGTCATTATTCATTATCTTCATAATAAATTTAAAATTCACATCTTTTTTAAGCGAATCTTAATTCTTTAAATTTATTCATAAATTTTACTACAGTTGTGAACAAAAATTATAATTAATTGCATGAAAAATTCTTATGGTTACTCGAACGAACAGAAGTATGAAGTTTGTCATTTTTCATTATATTTTAAAATTAATTTTTACCGGTCTTTGGAGCATAAGATTGTCTCAGCGGCAATTATTTGACTTGAAAATAAATTATTGAAATTATCAATGCATCACTTGAACCACATGTTGATAAGCGGTTTAGTTCACTTCACTCTTTAGCATCTCCGATGCCATCTGCATTGATGGCAAAAGTAGCTTCCGCCTCAGGGAGGCAGGGCGAGTCATAAATTTTGCAGATTCTTGTCTCTCCACGTCCTTTCCTCAAATACAGTCTGCACAAAACAACAGATAATTTAAAAATACATTACATAAAATTATATAATAAAATAATTACATACCTTGTAGTAGAAGCATGTGCCATAATATTACCACCAATAGGCTTTTTGGGGTCAGCAGCAAAAACAGCCCCTCCGTCCACTTGGGCGACCACCTGGTTAGTAATGACCACAGCAACTCCAAACTATATGTCAATGAAAATTACAATTATTTCCTCAATTCTAATCCTCCTCCAGTAATTACCTCATCAGCCAATCTCAGGAGCATCCTCAAAAAACGAGCCAAGTGCATTTGTCTAGCAGAGAGCTCGCCTCTGCCAGAATAGTCAGTCCTGTACAAAGCTGTGGCACTGTCCACTAACAGAAGTGCATAGCTGTTAAAAAGATTATTTAATTAAGAAGTTAAATTTTTATTAAGTTTTCCGAACCGTGACTCGGCCATCATAGCTCCTGCCTGCACCAAAAGCTGTGTTTGATGATCAGTATTGTATGCTCGAGCGTATGCCACATTGTCCAGCACCTCTGTCCCAGAAAGTCCATAGCGCTCGGCAACAGCAAGAAGTCGCTCAGGGCGGAATGTACCTTCGGTATCAATGTAGAGACATTTTCCTTCGCCACCATTCTGATCAATTGGCAGCTGCAAAATCAGTTGTAAATTAAAAAAAAACAAGCACTTGAAATTATTATAGTTTTGATGTACTTGGCATGTGGCAGCCAAAGTGTGGCAAAGCTGGCTTTTTCCAGTCCTAAATTCTCCAAAAATCTCAGTGATTGAGCCAGTTTCAATACCACCACCCAGAAGGCGGTCCAGTTCCTTAGAGCCTGTTGTCAGCTGAATGATTTCTGATCTCTTCTGGTGGAATTCTGTGGCTGTAGTAAAGCCCATGGGAACTAGCTTATGAGCCTCAGCCTGTTTTAACAAAAGTTTTAATTGGTCCGTGGTAAAGAGAATTCATGCTGTGCTCACCAAAATTTTATCAGCCTTTTGCTCGCTGATGCCTTTGATGGTGATGAGCTGTTTTTTCGGAGCAAACGCAATAGACTCAACAGTGTGGTACCCTGCCTCCTCCAATTTCTTGATGTCTGAAGCCAGAATTCCATTTCCCTGTTAAGAAATTAAAAAATTTACTAACTACGTGAATAAACAAATAACATAATATTTTGGTATGTATATTAAACAGCACCTCTAATTTTGCAATTGCTTGGGGCCCAAAATCTTCTTCTTCACAGGTCTCCATGGTGACTGCACTTTCCCTCTGCATTGTCGCCGTCATGTTGATAGTTTGTTTCTTAAATAACCTCGTCTGAAATTTTTTTTGAATAATTTACCATCTCAAGTCAATTTATATAATTTAAAAATTTGCTCTCAAAACTTCACCACTGTTTATTTTGTACTCGATCGCCTTTTTCCTCCCTTGCTCAAATGGCTGATCATCAATATTCCCGCTGAAATACGCTCAAACTGATTGTAATGACTGTCCACCGATAGGTGGTGCGCCTAGTTCTATTTAGTATGTATAGCATGTATGTATTAGTAGTTGTACGCAAACGCGTTTAATAAAAGCATTATTATTATTCTTAAAAATAATTTCAAATAATAAATTGTACACTATTTTTTACTTCTAGCCCTGAATATAATTATATTTATGTATACATTTTTGTATACAAAGTTTTGCATACAAACGGATTAAATTCGATTATGGAACCAACTGGAATGTGTAAAACCAAACACTCAATTTTAAAAGCCACAATAACTTAATATTAGCCCACTCTATGATTAAATTGTATGATAAATATGTGAAACATATGCCATAGTATAGCACAATCATCATAACAAATGAATGGACTGAATTATCTCCAAGTAATTAGCGATACTTACAAGAAATTTAGTCGATTGCAATGTTTTTCGTTACAGCAAGTTGAGAACTGTTGCTGGCGCCAAAATAAAGCCCACAGCCGGTTCTCGTAAACAAAAAAATGACTGTCGACGTTAAAGGTTAAAGTGGGCGTTGCTTTGAGCTGCGCATAAAATAATAATAAAAGGAAAGCTCATTTTTAACTTCAAAGAAATTTATATTTTCTCCGGAATCTTTTAATTTTGACTGAATTTGTGCAGCACTCGCTGATACCAAATTGAAAATTTCTCTGCAAAACGCTACCCTTCAACCTTTATCTATCAGAGATCCATGGAATCGGCTAAAGGAAATCCACCAACTTCTCCCAGTGTCAGGGAGGATCTTGTAAATTTACATGATTTTTACATTTTCATTATTTTTCTTTCAATGTAAAGTCTTAATATAATGACTTCATTTGGCATTTTTCTCGAATTTTGCATTGTTTTTTTTTTAATTTGCTTTATCCTGTTCAAAGGTGAGAACGGCTGTGCAGTTTTTAACAAATCCAAAAGTTAAGGACAGTTCTCAAGAGCACAAGGAAGCGTTTTTAAAGAAGAAAGGACTGAACGACAACGAGATTACACTAGCATTCCAAAGGTCGACACTTGCCACAGCTGTGAGCAATCAGCTCTCAGTTCCTGTAATTAATCGGCTAACACAATTTACTGAGCATAATCATAATACAAATTTTGATTTCTTTAGCACCCAGTTTCTCTTCCTCCTCAGTACTATGGTCCCCCTCAGCAGCTGGTTATCCAGCAGTCTTTTTGGTCCAGCTGGATGAATGTTACAAGAGCTGTCTTTGTAATTGGCGGTGTTACCTGCAGCCTTTACTACTTGTTTGACGTAAAAAAGAATATAATTATGAAAGTTGAATGCATAATTTATCAAAATTTCTATCATTGCAGAAATATCTTGGGCCTGTGATTTTTGGAAAGAAAGACCGTTTGGTAAAGGTTGAAAAAACCTTAGAGTCGTTGGAGCAAAAGGTGAACGAAGCTCTCTCGACCCTCGCTCAAGTTACTTTGACTCTCGAAAAGCAACAATTCGAGCTAGCTAGAATTTATGGCGAAAAGCAAAGGGATTCTGGTGACAGTTCTGTTTCTAAAATTGAGACTGAAATTGCAAGCTTAAAAGGAATATTACTTGGCAGGTATGATATTTTTTGTAGTGTTTGTTTAAACCAAGTTGAGTTATTTTTTTTTTAAAGGAAACAGTTTCCGATTCGCCCCAGCGGTTCGGTGGGTATACCGTCTTGGCAGGTAAAGCCCAAGTGCAAGGACGAAGATGAGACAACCTCTAAAGATCCAAGTCCTGTCAGTAATGGGACCAGCAGCCCAGAGCTCATGGAGGCACTTGACGTTTCCGACTCAGCAGGAGAGCAAATCCATTCAGATTAGTTTTCTTTACTTGCATAGAATGCCATACTACATTTACTGTGATCTCCCTGTTGTTTCTTTCTAGTTAATTTTTGGTAACGGATTTCTCAGATTTTTCAATATTCATTTTTACTGTCAAACGGACTTCAATAAATTTATTTAGCTTGAAAAGCACATCTTTTAAATTAATTTCACCTGCTTCATTAGTCTCCCAAGAAACAAAAATAATTTACTGAAATGATCAATTTTTATTATATTATGGTGGCTGACAATGGCTGGATTACATGATTTTAAGTTCTAGACACCAATTTTGAGAAACACTTAAAGGTAACATTACTTAAATCACTTAAACATACTCATCAGTAACTTTTTGTAAATGTTCAGTGTCCATAAAGTCAATTAAGTGTTTCTAATTCAGGTTTCTCCAATAGTAATAAAAAAAAATGCAAGTCATTGAATTTTAAGTGATAATTTTCCACTTTTTCTTTGCTTAAGTAAAGAGAAAGACTAGCATTTGAGTGAATTCCATTAACCAGCTCAAATTTTGAGAGCTAGAGCTCTTATAATTGCGAGTGACCAATCTAATAGCAAAAGGCAACAAACACTTTAGACTCGAGCTGTGTTAGTATTAATAAATTAATATTTTGGTAGAGATCAACTCTTTAAACCAAGTGGTTGTAAACAAAATTCCTGCTTATTTCGCACTCAATGATAAATTAAAATTAATAATTTCAAATACACAGTAAAATATTCCATCCTAATGGCAAGATGTCAGACTTGTACACCTTGGATTTCATACCAGTCGCACAGAGTAAATGAAATTTGTACTCGTACAAGCATTTAATCTGCTTGCATTATATTGCTTGTAAGTGTTGTTTGTTCAATAGAAGCAGAGACATGTTTGTTGCCACTGCTAACAGTTCAGTTTCAGTAATACAAGAAAGCAAAACAGTCCCTGGTTTAGTTGGCTTTTAAATTCATTCACTGCCAACATTAAAACATTGATCTTTTCTCCAAATTATGAGAAGAGCTTTTTAACAATCGAAGTTTATGATTTAGGTATGTACAGTCAACATTTACTTCCTAATATTAGTTAAAACCCTATTGTGTATCTTTTATAAAAAGAGCAAAGAAAATCATAAGACTTGCGTTTAACAGCAAATCCTGAAAACACTGAATTTCGTTCGCTACATCTGTTGGAAAAGTTTCTTAGTTGAATGTTAAATCTAATTTCTCTTTTCTGTGAACTTTGCTTAGCTCTCAGCTGTTGTGCTCCAAAATGTCTTTTAGTGATACAGAAGTTCCTTTGCTAAATATTGTGGGACATCACAAGTCATCAAGAGGGAGTTCCAAGCGTCAATTTTGTTATGCAAATCACACACTCAGCACAGTCTCTTGCAAGTTATGACTCGGCAGCGCTGCTGGTTGAGGATCCTCAACATCTCCAACTCTCCGTCTCACACCCTGCATCTGAAATCGGAATAAATCCTCAATAAAATAAAAATACTTGAACATGTAACAGCTCATTGTGTATTCACCTGTGTGCGCTACCACTGCCTATGAATATGCAGATTCCTGCTAAGGACGCTACGAACGTCTTGCGTAAATCTCAGGGCATCTAGCACAGGCAGCAAGTTGAGCAACGCCGTGTCGGTTGGATCACTGAACCACGATCGAATGGGAATCGCATTGTCTGCAGTGCAAAAATATTGTTTATTACCATCATTAAGAACGCTTTTTTTAGATTCTAACCTGGATAGGAACGGTAGGCTCCTGGCGAATTGTCAAGTATGAAAATGGAGCTGAGATCTGCACATATGGCGGAAAGATTCTTGGTGTAACTGCCCATTTCAGGCGTACAATGCTGTCGATAGTAGCGTCTTTGCAGAATGCCACGAGAGTTGTCCAGTTTGTCAGCCACAGCCGCTCCATAGATTTCCATGCTGGCCGTGAAAACGACTAATTCGTACCATTGGGAAACCTTTGAAAAAATGAAAAATATGGTTTTTATCTGAAGTTTTGTATCACGATGAATTCTTACGATGTCTAGGAAGAAGTCAACATGTGGTCTTTTGTGCACAAAGAATCGAACAGGGTGTCTGTCAATGACCACCTTGAGGACAAAATCAGGAGGAGTGCCTGGTTTGACTGTTTGACGAACAACTCCATCATGGTGTGAGTGTATAAGAGTCTCGTCCAGGTCAAGCACAAGCACCTTTCTGCGCACGATACCTAGGAAGGACACAGAGTTTTAAAATCAAATTAAAAAGTATCCAAATTTTAAATTATATTACATACTTAGTCTGTGCCTTGATAACGGAGAAAGAGGGAAGAGCTCGTATTTTACTGGCTGATGCTTCACAACCTGCCAAAAATAAATAGGTGAAGGTTTTAATTAAATTAGTAATTAATGAAATAAAAAAAAATTGTGGTGGATTTAACTATTTTAACTAGTGACCTGTAGGGAGTTGCTGTGAAAATCTCTGTTTGCAAGCCATCAAGGGCATAACAAAAGCTTATCTAAACAAAATCGATTATCGGTTTCACAGAGTTTTGATAACAGCATGCTTAAGCACGCTTAAAATAATTTAATTTTTCCAAGAAACAATTTTGTACAAAAATTTTTCCTTGATTATTAGAAAATTAGAAAAGTAAAAAACGGTTTGCAAACATTCCCCTGGGAGAGCAAAATATAGTCTCCATATGTATATGGGCAAAGTTTTAGGCATGATAATTTTAGACCCTTGACGATTATACAGACGCTGTAATTTAGACATAAAGGGGCCGTTTGAGGTCTGCAACTTACCGCGCGGACCTGTTTCTTGACCAAGAAGCAAATGCAGGTCCATATTTTGGAGGCGAGCAAGAGAAACGCGCGAAGCCCCATTTGCACCTGTTTCAGCATTTGTGCTCTTATTTTTGGAGGCGGCGAGGAAGAAGCCTGCTGTTCCGTTGCGTCCGAGTGTCCCGTCCGACTTAGATACGGCGGTACAGGGAAGCACGAGAGAATTTTGCCTTGTTATTTGCGGCCGCCATCACCCTTGTTCCTCTAAATTTCTGCTGTGCTCTCTCTCATCACGCAACACGCAAGTGCGGCTCGTTTGACAAAAGACGATCGCCGCCGGTTTTGCTTACCTATCGCGCGATAAATAATTTTTCCTTACATACGCACCAGCGCACAAGCGCAAGCGTTTAATAAAATTGCGTATTAAATTAATAAGGTTAAATACCATAATTTCATGACGGGAACCGAAAATAACTTTTAATATGAATGATATGAATATGAAGTCAGTTTAACCTGATACAATTCATAATTTAATTTACAGACTGTTACAGACAATCTGAAGATTTCAATAAAAAAAAATTATGTAAAATATTGATTTCAATAATTCTTTTTACACAACATTGGAATAATTTTTTTTATCGATTGCGCTTTTTAAATGTGTGTGACAGCAATATATTACTATTTTTTTTAATAATTACAAATAAAATATTATATTTTAGCTTCAATCCGCTAGTTTATTTGGAAAATTCAATGATCCATATGTCCTATAATTAATTTTATTTTTAAAATAAAAATGATAACAATTACAAATTGACCTAGATTTTTTTCAAACTTGTTAATTGAAATTCTTCTATTTTTAGCAGTTTAAATATACTCATGACAATATTTACAGAAAATTCATCCACTTTTTTTAAATTAATATTCCATACTTTTTTATAAGTTATAGTGGTTTTGCCCCGATATTAAAAGCTTTGTTTTATCTATTAGGTCACATCATTTTATATATGTAGTCCTTTAGTTTGGAGCGTGTCTTTTCATAGTTTTAAAAATTATTGATTTTTTTTTTAAAATCGTTTGTGAGAAAAGTTTTGTAAGAATTTTCAACGTCACTCTTAAAACAGAAATATTCTTGGGATTAAAAAGAGCTATAACCAGGAAATTGATGAAAAAATCACGGGGAAAATATTTATGATAAATATCTAAAATCTAATTTTTTAATCGTTTATAACAATTATTAATTAATAAATTTTAAAATAATAATAATTATCATAATGAGAAGGAGACAATTACGCAAGCTATTAACAAAGCCCGGACAGTCAATTCCTTTAATTTGAGAGTAGGCCTTGGAAAGCAGATTTTGAGTTGATTGAATGATAACATTGGAAACAATCAGCATTGTCCGCAGAATTGAAAGCAAATTAATGTTGCGTGCAGGACCACTGAAATCATTCAATTAACGATCATCAAATGTCAATCAGCGCAGGCGGCGCGCAGAAAATCCCAGGGCCCATCAGTGCCCGGACAGACAACAGAATGGGCTTGTCACGGGGGCTCGCTGCGATGGGCATTGTGGTGATCCTCATCATTGCCTCAACGGAGCGCCAAGTTGAGTCAACGCCTGCGCTGGAAACGCTTTCAGCAACGCAGGTATTTAATTTCCGTACAATTTATTCATTTTTGCGCCTGTTTACAAAAATTTAGATTTTCTTTCCGGGACAAATAAAAATAACAATAACTATTTTGGAACCAAATAATTATTGAGCATCAATAACTTATCCCAGTTAAAAATAAAAAGTAATCTAGTTTTTATTTATTTTGCAGCCACTTCTGTGGGAGGATATGCGCGAAATTCCACAGACTCACTGCCTAAGGTATCGCAAGTTTAAATTAATCCGCAGATGCAGACGTGTGTGGAAGTTGAATAAGTTTGCGCTCCACTTTCCTCGTGTCACAACATAAAAGAGTAAATGTCATAGATATTCAATACAATAATACATAAGCCCCTGAAATAGTACAAGACCTCAAGGCCAAAAACAAAATTAATTTCTAATTCTAGTCCACTCAGAAAATAGATAATTATACAAAACTAATTTAGTGTAAAAGACTGTCAGTTTAAATAAATAAATTATCATGGTCACGATGTTATATAGATAAGAAATTCTAAATTCTGATTAATAAAATAGCAAAAATGAAATATTTGACCTGTATTTTGGACCATTTGAATCCTAAATAAAAATCTCAGTATATTTGAATGAAAATGTAAAAATAGACAAAAGAGGCTCCAATTTCAATAATTGTTTTTATTGCCCACATTTCTACACAGCAAAGCTGGCGTATTTATTTTCTAGTATGCTTTTTTTTCTTTTGGTTTGGAAAGCACCAAAAATTTAAACACAGTTGGCGACTTCTTTTCCTATTAATATTTTGGTTTTTAACCTCAATTTTAACATATTTCTTTCAATAAATAACTCAGCAAGTTGCTTTGTTTCTCAAATAAAAATGCTCACTTGGCCTTACCCTGGGCCGCGACGGCTTCGATGGCCTTGCGGACAGTTTCCTCATCCCCCAAGAACTGCATCGAGACCACAGGCTTGAAGTTTTCGTCCAGCTCATAGACAAAGGGGATGCCGGTGGGCAGGTTGAGAGCCATGATGGCATCGTCAGACATGTCTAATGAGGAGAATTTTATTTATTTATTTAAATTTGTGGCAAAATGAAAATTTTACTGTCAAGGTGCTTGACAATTCCGCGGAGGCTGTTTCCGTGGGCGGCGATCAGCACCCTCTTGCCCTCCTTCAGCTGAGGAATGATGACGTCATTCCAGTAGGGAAGGGTGCGGGCGATGGTCAGCTTGAGAGACTCAAACTTAGGGAACTCATCTTTGGAAGGCCCGTTGGCGTAACGGGGGTCATTCACAATGGTGTCGTAGTACTGGTGGTCGGCCTCCATAGCGGGCGGGGGAGTGTCGAAGCTGCGACGCCAGATCTGGACCTGAGGGGACAAAATTCATAGATTAACTTTTTGTCTTCAATAAATATCCTAGCTGGGAATCAAACCTGCTCCTCGCCATACTTGGCTGCGGTTTCGGCCTTGTTGAGACCAGTGAGACCGCCGTAGTGCCTCTCGTTGAGCCTCCAGGTCTTCTCAGTGGGCAAATCGGGCTGTCCAATCTCGGCCAGGATAGCACCAAGAGTCTTGTGGGCACGGGTCAGCAGAGAGGTGTGGGCCACATCGAACTGATAGCCGGAATTCTTGAGAGCTGTGCCGGCAGCCGCTGCCTCTTGTTTTCCTGAAAATAAAATTTTTATAAGATAATTGATTTGACCTGAATTTGAAAACAAATATAGAGGGTGAGAGACTAATTCAAACGAGTTAAGACGCACTTTCTTATAGACTAAAATATACAGGTATTTTTTTAAATTGAATTAAGTAAATTTTATGTTCATAAATTTTTTAATGTACCCTTGTCGCTTAAATCGGCGTCGAACCATCCGCAGAAAAGGTTCTTCTGGTTCCACTCGCTCTCGCCGTGCCTCACCATCACAATCTTGTACTTTGCCATGATTCCGAATAAATTTGCTGCCGGTTTTGTCAAAGACCGGAGAGGACTAGAGAATTTCAAAAGCAGGACGAAGAGAGGACGAGCCGACCCAGCAGTGTTCGACCTTGTGACCTTCAAAACAAGAAGACACGCCCCCTTTTGGCAGTATGACCAATAAACAAATTTATTCAAGCTTTCTGTTCAATAAAACCACTCGAGGTATACAAATAAATTAAATCACATTTTTACACTGAAGTGTTTATTTTAGTATTACATGATTCATGTCATAAACTCTAAACTAGAAAATCAATACTGAAATAAAATATAAATATATTTTTCTTAAAATGTTTCGATGGAAAGATAAGCTGCACATTCATATTTTTTTTTTCGAAATGAACATAATTTTCCAGAATATTTTGTCTGGTAAGGTTAAGTCTAATTTTGCATTATTTTCCACAAGTATTGTTTATTGACTATCCACTATGATACGCGCACTGCAGACTACTACATAGCAAAAAAAAAAGATTTAGAGGACGTATATGTAATTTGATAAACAATAATTTTTCAAGTTGCTAAAATAAAAATTTAACTGCGATGGAACGTAACATATAAGCTCACTGGACCATAAACAGTGCAGTAAATGATCAGTTAAATGCTAAGAGGAGGAATTTAACTGTTACACCTACGAAGAATCATTAAATATTTTTTGGCAGGTGCGTTCTTTATGAAAGATCTCACACAAATATTTATTTTTACAGAAAAACGTGTTGTGCTGATGACTGATAGAAAAGTGAAGCTGAGCACAATTACTATGGAATTATAATTTCCTTTTACAGTTTGTGTGAGGCTGGAAATCAGAATTTTACTATTTCTACTCTCATATAAAATTTAAAAAGTAAAACGTAAGATGCAATTAGCTGCTAAAAACAATAGAAGCCTAACATCTGATTGATTTACCCCACCTGTGAGGGTTCAAATGATAAAGTTCAAGTTGCATTAAAAGTTATAAAAAGAAGTCTCCTATAGGTTATGGTCTCAAAAAGACCGAGCTGCGATAGTGTATAAATAAATGTTAAGTTAGACCGATTCTGATGGACTTTGGAATTCGCTGAGCGCTTTGATGGGGTTCTGCACCTTCTTCTGAGATCCCTTGCGGACTTTGGCTCGAACCTCCTCAGGTCTCTCAGGCCTCACCAGAGGCTTCTTCTCCGGAGCCTTCATCTTCCAAACCACAATCGGAGACTGTAAGGTGGTCTATAATTAATATTAGCATGAGCTTCGAGTCCAATCAAATGCTTTAATAAAAAACAGGTTATTTTGGTGAAAACTTCGGTGTTCTTCCAGACTTGCCAATTTGTTGATTTATCGTTAAATAATTGTTATTTCTATTGTATTATTGACACTTAATATTGTTCCAAAAATTCAGATCAAATTGTTGAGTTTAAAGAATTGATAATTAGTAAAAACAACATTCTATCCTAGAGTATTTCTGGCAATTTCATGCAGCTATGTTTGAGCAAAAACCAATTTGTTAATCTTCTCTAACACATGGGGTAGTGTTTTTGAAACAGCAGTTGAAATACCAGATTGACTCCGTATAGAATGGAGTGTTCAGTTGAAACGGGGAAATAAAAACGAGATCCTTCCGACTTGGCAAAACCTGAATCCGTTACTTCCTAGGAGGTTGAACAAAGGTAAACTTGACATTTAGTTTTGGCAAAGAAAATGTTACGGTGGAAACCAAAAGATATGTAATATGAAAAGGGAAAAAGTTGGGTTGATTGAAAAAGGACTCGACTCACCGAGACTGTGCCCTGTCGAGGGTACTTGGTCGAGGCGACGTAAGATGCTTTAACGGTGAGCACCACAGCATTCATCAAGTTCTTGGCTGCCTGGATCAAAGAGGTGGCGCTGTCCAACTGTAATTAGAAGAGAAGAATTAGAAAATCTTGTAAAAGTGAAAATAATTAAATATCCTACCCCAGAGACAATGAGTTCTCCACTGATGTTTTGCACATCGGCTTTGACTTTGGATGTGATGTTCAGCTGGTGGCAGTAGAGGGCAATTCTTTGCAGGTAAGCCAGCAAATCCTTCTTTGTGGAAGACTCCGGGCACTGGTCAGCAATCATCCTTGTCAGTTTATCAAGTTTAGTTCCGGCCTCAGAAATCTTCTTAGCAGCTGTGATGACGTCCATGGTGGTTTTCAACGGCCCTCGACCCCTTATGAAATAACATTCAGAAATTATTATATTAAGAAAAAATTTAAAAATAAATAAATAAATAAATACCTGGTAAAGTCTGTCATCTCCATCATGATCATGCACATGTGTTTTGCAAGGACAATTATATCATTGCCAGTGTCGTCCCACTTAGCAACTTCCCTGTCAAACTTCAGTTTTTCCGACCGGAAGTACTCCACTTGCTGAGCAATCTTCTGTTTGTCCTCCTCAGTCATCTTACGCATAGCTTCCTAAAATTACAAAGTGATTAAAATGAAGCTTTTTCCAATGTTCCAAATTTACTCTAGCAGTTGTTATTCCACTTATGTCAGGATATTCGTCAACTCCGTGTCCTGGGCCATCTCCAGTGTGAATGCTCGCTGTTTAAATCACAGGTTAGAAACTTCAGATATGCTTTTCAATCTAATTACATTTGCTGCGAGTTTCAACTGTGTTGTGCTCGTCAAGTTCAACATCTTCAGGGTCCAATTCCTCGTCTGTGCGATTCATCAAAACAGCTCGGCGAATTTCACGCACGCCGTCATAAACCAGACGGGAAGCATCAATGAACTCGTTCTCGTCGACTTCCTTTGGCGGGTTTGTGGAAAGAGCTGTGACTGCAACCTCAACCCTCTCGGCAAAGTTCGGCATAACTGGAAATGAACGGTAGTTAAAAACTAAGAAAATAATTAAAAAATAGCAATGTATTTTTTAAATTTATAAGGTTTAATTAGCAGGCTTTGAAACTCAATTTTTGGAAAATAAACAAATAAATTAATCAACACATGAAAATTTTAAAACCTTGGTCTCGTAGAACTTTAACAGCTTCCAAAACCCGCTCAGTGTAGATTCCAGGCTCGTAATTGTCCATTTCGGCATCCACAACATTGCAAACTCGGGCGGACCTTCCTCTAATGGCACCTGCAGTGCGATCAAGAGTGTCCGGATCGCCTTCTTGAAGAGCCAACACGCATTTGTTCACGTCCTCCAGAATGTGGTTTTCGGAGACAGCCAAGAAATCATCAATAGTGGTGATGTCGTCAACGGCCTCAGTCAGAATGCGCACTTGGTTTTCCCAGGCCTCGCGGAACACGTCCATGTTTTCTTGTGCGACCTTCGACCGAGGTCGCGCTGCCAGAATTTGAGCAGCGTTGATGACCTGAAGAACATCCGATTTAGAAAAAGTTGTTAAAAAAAAAAACAGGATATCATACCTGGGGGCAAAGGTTTTCAATTTGTGCGGCGGCGTAACGGACCATCTTGACTCCGTCTTCGTTTCCACTCATGCTGCAGGCCAAGTTGGCCACCTCGACGAGTTTGTTGGCATGCTCGGTGAATACCTCCGAGTACTCAGCTACCTCTTTTTCGTTGCCGAGTCTGGCGGCCTCGATGAGCACCAGCAAAGGGACACTGGTCTCCAAAAAACTGAAATTTACATTTAAAATATTTTTTATTAAAAAAATGAAAGCCGACCATATTGCAGGGAAAAATTTAGTAGTCAGATCAGGGCAAAACTTTTTAACTCGTTTTAACTGTTCTTTGCAAATCGAACCATTCAGATTTTTATTTTTAATTATTGAATTACCTGTCAGAGACGTGGTCCACAACTGCCTTGCGCAGCTGACGCCTCAAGTCACGCGTCTTGCGGCACATGTGATCGATGGCCCGATCCAAACCGTCGCTGCGGTCCTTGACACCCATCTAGGAAATAAACAAAATGAAATGATGACTGCCAGTATAAGGGTGGATCCAGTGATGCAAATGGCTCACCGCACAATGGGGGAAGTTTATGTCTAAATAGTGGAAGTAATCTGATAGAGATTTGTCATAACGATACATATCAACACAAAATACAACAAGTGCAGATTAAACGGCAATTGTGTGGTCAAATCCAAATGGTGGCAAGCAAGTGGAGTTTTATTTTTTGCACGGGATTATAAAAAGAGATTCTGTCATGGAGTTAAAGGTTTGCTGTAGATATATATACGAGATAAGATAAAGGATTATAAATTCCAAGGGACATGCAACAAAATCAGTCAAAAACAAGTAAGTCGGTGCAGTCAAGAGAAACACTTTGCAGAAAAGAGAGACTTCTTCTCTGGGTATAAAATATGTACAAAGAGGGGCTAAATTAGTCTGACGCTAGAGGGATGCTACAGGTGATTATCTGAAAGGCACTAGACAAAAACTTGTTGAGTCTCTATTGTCTGCTCGAAAGACTTTGAGAACACTAAATCAATTATGGGGTCACGCTACAAAAAATATTTACCCCGCTTCTTTTAAGGTGCCTTGCTGTCTCAAGCTGAAATCACAGATAATAATCTGTAATCTCTTATGAAAAATTCAAAACCCAGTCCGCAAGTTCATGAGAGATTGAAAATGAATCGTTTTGACCTCAATGGCAGATACTTACGTTGGACATGTATTCCGAAAGCAAATCTTGCAGGGCCTGGCGCACGGCGTTGCACTCGGCAACAATTCTTTCTCGGCGCTCATCTCTGGTGCAAGATGAATCTGCCATCAGAGCGGCGCCGCTGATAATGCTCTCCAGGCGCTCCTCCAAAGACGGTCGAGTGCGAACCTCATTGTAGGCCAGAGGGTCAATAACAATACGTTCCTAAAACAAGCAAAGAGAACAGAATTTTAAATCTTTTATTAATTTTTTGATAAAGTAGCATATAAATTTGTTTCCTTCCTCAAATTTCACTTTGTTTTCATCTTTCAATTGTAACAAATAACAAAACACTAGAATTAATTAAAATAGCAATACATTTTTGGTAAAAAGAAATTTTTGAATTTTCTTACATCAAAGTCGTCGAGAGCAGCTGCGAGCTCTCCAGGTCCATCATACGGTTGCTGTGGCATGGAAGGATTTTTGCCTTGAGCCACGTCTGAGATTGTGTTCACGGCCTCGCACACTTGCTTGAAGACGTAGTCACGATTGGCCTTAGCTGCAGCCAACTCGGGATGACGGACATACACCTAATTTTATTAATCCACATTAGTTTCTAATAGTAGTCTCAAATTTTAAATTATACTTTAGAAGCAGTCAAGAGCATAGTGGAGTGCTTCTTTAAGACAGCCCTGGCAGCAGCCAGATCGTCTCGGAGTTGAACGTCCTTCAACTCTGCCTGCCTTTTGGCTGCCTGGGCAATCAACTCTGCTGCATTGCGGCCAAAGGAACGAATGCTCTCTAGCAATTCAGGCTGACTGGATGCATTCCTGACCTTTTCTAAGTCATCCTCAACCTAGTGTTATTATTTTTTAATTACAAATTATTTTTGTTGGAAAATTGTATAAACTTACAACTTGGAGTGATTTTAGGAGCAGGTGGACATCAACCATGTCTGCCAAAATCAGAAGTCTGGTAACTGCTGAGAGAAGATTTCGAGCTGCTCGGACCATGTTGCCTCTTTTCATTGATGAGCAAGGGTCTTCGGCAAACTCTCGAGCCGCAAGACTCATTGCATCTCCTAGTTATATTTAATTGTTAAGTAAAATTTTTAAACTCAGAATAAATACATATAATTACCAGTTTTCTTGACTTCATCTACTGCCGAAAGCATTTCTTCTTTTATGTCTGGATTTTCATAAGCAATCTGCTCGCCCTGAAGGATGAAATTTTCAGTTGCTTTTTCAACGGCGGCCACCAAAACGTGAGCCCTTTTAGATCGCCCTTTCTTCTTCTTTGATGGTCCCTTTGTGCTCACAAGGGTCGTGACCTTAAAAGCAGATGTAATTTTAAACGTTTGGCTCAAGGATAAGCGACGTGGATCATCTTACCTGCATCACGAGAGGCTCCAACGTCTTCTCCACGGACATTGTCCGGATTTCTAGATTTTTTGGATCCCATTTTAAAGTAATGGGCCCAAACTGGTCAGCCATGGCGCCTCACCTAGAATACGGGAAATATAATTCTAATGACTGGTTATGAGCGAGAAAAGGGAAAGAAGGAAAAAGTGGCGAGACTGTTGAGCAAACAGAGGTATCGCTCATCGGTGTCGTGATTCATCAGTGACACGCCTTATTATGAATCGGTGCTCTGAAAGCGAGGAATTTCGCACTTTTGGCGGTCGAGACGGGATTCCATAGAATTGGCAAAGATTAGGGTTCAAGACTGAATGGTGAAAAGCGGTCGGGAAAGTGAAAAGTTGCCCAAATTTACTCACAAAAACAATAGGGCCGACAAGCACAGCGAATCTTGTAAACAGGGATAGCGGCCACTGGCACTCGAAATGCAGGAGTGGGAGGACGAGTGGGGGAGAAGGAGGGCAAGGGGGGAAGAGAGCGCGAGTTCAACGTGCATGTCGAAAATCGATTCCCTCGTATTCCGCATATTTATTATTTTTTTTTTTAATTATTGACTTTTGTTAGTCAAGCCTTTTTATATTTTTTTTTTCAACTATAGAAATCAGAAATAATCTTAAAAAGTTTTATTGATAAACGATAAATCTGCGATAAACTAAACCTGAAGAGGAGGAAACATTTTACATTATGTATATCGATGAAATGGTAAATCGATTAACCAGTTTTTCTCATTACACAAACAGCAAGTGTATGATAAGCCCCCAGCCCCTGAACAAGTGCAGCAAACATCATGAACTATGATTAAAAAGTTTTTCCCTTCTACCTCTAACTAATCTTTCCAAAAGAATGGTTTAAAAATAAAAAAAGTACAAATTTGGAAAATTTGAATTGAATATTAGTGAAAGCTTTTAAAGCATGTATCTTATTTTCAATTAATTTTTTTTTTGAAACATCAAAGTAGTTCAACAACACCACCTCTCCCCTTTCCTGCAATCTTAAAAGCATTTTGATGCCTTTCTATAAAGACGTTCCCACGGTACAATGTTTGAAAGTTAACATTATATATTATGTATAAACGCTCTCCCACTCCCTTTTAACTTTCAAGTCATAAGTTGAATGGAATTGTATATAATATACATCTAAAATACAATATTTTTCTATGTTTATACTCTACAATTTAATGAAATAACCAATTTTTTTTAAATTAAAATCCAAAAATTATCACAGAATTGGAGTGACCAAAGCAGTAGGATAAACATAATGGAGGCAGTCTCTAGGAGTGATGAGTCTAGTGGAACCAATAATGACATGCTTCCCGTTGAGGGACGCAGAGTTCTGAATGGCTCGTATTTCACTTCCCGTGATGCCACCCAACACCAAGACCACAATCAAGGGATTATCAGAGGGATGGGTCTTGGCAGATCCAAGGAATAACCTGAAAAAATTTATATTAAAAACCAAGCAATTTTTAATGTGAATTTATGTATACCCTAGCGCGCCTCGAGAGCTTCCCTGAATAGAACAAATAATGTCAGAACTGAGTTCCGGTGAATTGTTTTTGTTCAAACAGTCATCGACGATAGTTGGCAAGAGCGGAGTCACTGTAGCTGGCTGCTGGGAGCTTTGCCTAGTAATAAGATTCCTGCAGAAAAAAATTTTAAATTATTTCCTGGCTGAAAAAATTTTTATTATTACTGACCTGTATTTTGTCATTTTCCTCCTTGCCTCCGCTACAAATTTCAGCTTTTTGAATATTTCACTTGACACTCTAGAAGACTGCACCTCATCATTTATGACGCCAGCTAAAATTATTGGCAAGTTTTATTTATGTTATAGGCAGCAAGCGACAGTATTTTACAATACTAGCAAGTAGCAGAGGTTGCCAGGCAACACATATTTATTTATCAGTTTTGAAAATTTTAATGCCATAACATAAAGTTTCTGTCGTCATTATGGGTGACAAGAAACAAAAAGGAGGGAAGAAGGCATCTGCCAAAGGATCAAGGAAGTCCGAGGGAAAGTCAAAAAGTAGCCTTTTGGTAAAAATTTTTAAAAGGGATTAAAGTTTTTTTTTTAATATATAGCGCGCTATGTAGTGGACGTGTTCAGCGAGACAGCCATGGAAAATGCTTACTTTATTTGTCATAATGTTCAGGATTTGCTAAAATGCAGAGGATTCCCATGGCAAAATGCTCAAAAGAAGAAGAAGCGTGGCAAAAAATAAGTTTAAGCAAAAAGTCAAATCACTTAATAATTTCATCCAGTTTCTCAGGAATTTTTAACTGCTTTGAATAATAAACTGATCATCCGAATCTTAAATTACTCTATGTTCTTTTTTTTGCGTGAAAATACCTGATACGGCTTAAAATTTAAATATGTTGGGAGCACCAATAACTATTTTCTTACGCCAGTTATTCTCCGAGGCTTGGCAGTCTTCCAGCAAGGCTTCAGAAAGTGCTGCTTCTGCTGCTTTGATTTCTTCAGCTGCAGACACAATAAGGTTATGTTCTGATCCCGCAAGAGAAAATATGTGGATCAAAAGCAGAATAACAGCATCGAGTTTCAAATCTCGTTCCTTCCTAGTTTTCAGCAATGCTGTGATCTAACAAAATTAAATGAAATAAAAGTACACAGGAGTTAGAATTAAGACGAACCTGTTTGACAACATCTGAAAATCCTTTTTCTCCATCTTCGACTGCTAAATTTTGGACAAGGACTTTTTGCATTCCAGCCAAAAGCTCCAAAGATGTTGAATCGGGTCCTCCAGTACATTGAATTACCGCCAGACATTGCTAAAATAATTAAGCGTTAAACAAAATTTCAAAATCCTAGTGATTATTACTTGGAGCAAATTGGCATGTTGCTGGAGGCCTCCGTGAAGTGCAAGCGCTTTTGCTCGCTTTGCCAGAGACTCGGCTGTGACTCGAATAGTCGGGGTACCTTTTGAGGCTTCGAGGATGCTTCGTTGGACACTCAGAAGTCCCTCTTTTACGGAGGATGCTTCAATAAATGTAGAAATTCCTGCAGGTTGAAGAGCACAGCCTGGGACAAGTGGCAATGGGAGACCAGATGGAGCTTTTCTAAAATTTCTCACTCAAAAAATTGAAAACTTCAATCGAACAAAATTACCTTGTGGCAATGCAAAGTGAAGACATGTCGACACATCTCTCAGCTGAATGACCAGGGAAAGGTGGAAGGACAGAGAGAATGCGGTCCAAGAGGCAGTTGGATGTGTCGGAATTACAACCCGTGGCCAAATCCAACCCTCGGTCAAAGAGAATTATGCTGAGACGATTTTGTGCTGTCTGGAAAAAAAATAAATGAATTAACTATTTAAGAATAAATTTAATGCAGAACCTTTCTTCTAGTTCTTGCTGCTGGAAGGGCATCCAATTTTGCAGCCAAAGCAGAGCTCAATTCTCCGACACTGAAAACGTCTTCCCTAGCGCTAAAGAAGGCCATCAGGCTGTGCAGACATGCTGCCAAGTGGTCCATATGCTTTGGGTTGATGCTGAATTTCTGTTTAATTTAGCAAATTAAATAATTTGACATACTAAAAATTTAAGTGCAACCTTTTCCAGAGCCTGGGGGCCTAATTCGCCCATAAAATCACTGAAGGGTGGCATGATAAAAACATTTTCCTGCAGTTGAGCAGCAAACAAAGGACAATAGAGAACTTCACTGGTGTAAGACTGCTGAGGACAATACTGAAAAAATTCAATCAGAAAAATATCACCAATTTTGGCTTGTATTTTACAGCATTTCCCATCCAGCGCAGAAGTCGATTTTCCAGCTCCACAAAAGCTCGGAGATTGTTAGGGTCGTCTACTGGTTGACTGTCGGTGGCTTTGATGGAGGCGTGAATTGTGGCAGGCGCTGCGGTGATCACGATGCAATGCTCGAACCTTGAGCCAAGGATTATGTCTCTGATTGCCATCTCCGTAACTCCACCAACATCTTCTGAAGTGAGGAAAACTGCTTTCTGCTGCTCTTTTGTTCCAGTCTATAGAACATAATTAAAAAAATTATTTAATTTTGAATGAACAATGAATTACCTCAAGGGGTGAGAGTTCCTTCACGCCAAGAGCCCCTGCGTTGAAGAGTGCCTGAGCACCACCCAAGTTCCAGTGCAAACATTCAGCTGCTGGATTGTCAATGAAGACAATTGCATCCTTGACCTTCTTCATGACCTCTGACCACCAGAAGTTGATGAAGTGGTCGAGACTGGAGTCCCACCTGTCATCCTTTGGACTCATTTCTCAAGGGTCAGCCTGCTGTCCAGTTCAAGTCAACCCTCCGTCTGGCAATTTTTATTGACACCTTAAGGTGTCAATAAAAATAAACACCGCGGGGAGGCCGGAGAAGGGCGTGCCACATACAAAGGAGGCGTGTCTTATGACTTGTTTCGAACCAGAATCAAAATTGTTTTTTTCGGACAGCAGTGCTTTTTTAGATAATTTTTGAAAATGTTGACACGCCGGCAAACGTACTTGCTTATTTTAATAATTTACCTCGGCCTTTCACCGATAAATGGCACTTTGACGAAAAGTGACAAAAAGAAGAAAGCTGTCAAAAAACTTAACATTAAAACTTTTGTAAGTTTTTAATTTTTTTTTTTGCAAATAAAAGTATGATAAAATAAAACCACTTTTCAGGAAGGCCCAGTAGAGGAAAGTTTAGAGACGAGAGGACTGCTTGCTCCTTCTGTGAGAGCAAAAGACATATTAGCACAAAATGCTGCCTATCACAAAGATGTTGATGTGAAGCACCACAACACAACCACAGTATTAGCTTATGTTACCCCTGTATGCTAAACCGTGCAAAACATTATTTTAAGAAAATTGATTTACATAAAAAAAAATTTATTAGTGGAACAGCAAAGGTTACGAGATTGCTGAAAAATTTACGAAAAAATTTGATTTGATTTCACCGGTGTGGTTACAAGTGAAAAGAAGCGTTGAAGGATCCTACACAATTACCGGAGAACATGACGTCGACAACGGTTGGGTTTCAAAATTGAGGAAAAACAACCCCAGTATCAAAAGTATAATATAATAATTAGTTGAAAAATATTTCTTAATTCAAAAACATTTTCTGTTTTAAAAGTCGTACCCCGACTACTATTTGATGAGTGGAGAGGAGAGGATTTTGTTTCAGTGCTCAAAAGCCAAGCTGAGCAAACAAGACTGGGCCAAGTTTTGGTTAAAATCTGCCAGGTTAAATTAAAAATTATGTTACTAAAAATATATATTAAGTTTGTAAAAATAGAAACACAACTTTGACGGACTCGTACTTGAGTTTTGGTCACAGCTCGGAGGTCAAGCAAAAGAGCCCTTGTCTGTTATGACGAGAAATTTAGCAAGAGCAATGAGGAAAAGTTCCTTCATCACCATCCTAGTCTTGCCACCAATAAGGCAGTGAGTGTTTATTTAATTCAAAATTAAACATTAAAGCAAAAAAAAAAAATTTTTGTTTAAAGCCGAGAACTTGAATATTTCGATAAGACAGATTTTGATCGCCTAGCAAATGATATAAATTACTTCTCACTGATGACCTACGACTTTTCATCAGTGCAAAGACCCGGTGAGACAATTTTTTAAGATGGGCTCAATTAAAAATATAAATTTGATAAATTTAACTAAAATCTATAGGCCCGAGCAGTCCACTGCCATGGATGAAAGATTGTGTCGAATCTTTGGTGCCAGACAGCAACGATGCAAATAGGGAGAAGATTTTGCTAGGGCTGAATTTTTATGGGATGGATTTCACAATTAATGGAGGAGGCCCGATTTTAGGAAGGGACTTTTTGCAACTCTTGGAAAATGTGAAGCCTGCGGAAAAGCTCAAGTACGATGACAACTCGGAGGAGAACTTTATTGAGCTCAAGTAAGCTATTCTTTTACTTAGTGGTGTATTAGTTAATATTATTTTGTTTTCTAATTTGTAGGAAATCGGATTCAAGCCATATTATATTTTACCCTACGCCTTATTCAATTTTGAGAAGAATTAGACTTGCCGAGGAATTTGGCACTGGACTTTCAATTTGGGAAATTGGCCAGGGCCTCGACTTTTTCTACGATTTGTTGTAATTTTTTTTCTATAGCAATAAAATGGTTGTTACAATGTAAAGTTTTTGATATTGATTTGTCAAAATCAGTTAACTCTTGATGCTTTTATTTCAAAGATAAAAAAATTAATTGGTGTACCTTCTCCTGCTGGCATTCAACACTTAACACACACTCTATGTTTGTGGCTAGGGTTCAGCTGCTTGAAACCATTTCTTCTGTCTCGCTTGGCTTTCTACACACAAAGAAAACACTTTCGTATGTGTACTTCATCATGGACTTTGGATTCTGTGTGTACGAGCTCAATACTTTAGTGTCATCTTTCTGTAATCATAACAGAAAGAACTTTTATTTTATCTACTTAAGGTTAAAAAAATAAGTATCTACCAAATACTCAAAACCAAACTTGATGATAATGTCTTTGAGGATGTCGAAACTCGGTTCGATTGAGTCTTCTCCTCTCATATCCGCAAAGTGGTACAGAAGAGGGCCCAAATTGATCCAAACCCCACCTGGCTTGAGGATTCGATATATTGTCTCCACAAACTCAACAATGTTGTGAGCGCAGTCAATAAAAAAGCAGGTCGCAACGCAGTCCCAAGCGTCAGGCTCTTTGTAAATCTGCAAAACTTCAGCCTCAAGAATTTAATCATAAAAACATTAAAAAAATTGCACCTCTAAGAAATCTCCAGCAGCCATTGAGAATTGACCGTCCTCGCACAAAATATCTGCTGGATTAACATCCGGAAACCAGGCTTCTTTGACCTGGTCATCAGCCTTCAAAACGTTAATACTCTGATGGACCCAAGGACAAATTGAATGCAAATTGACTCCACAGCATCTGATTTTTAAAACAAGTTACACGTAATAAAAACGGAACTAAATATTTTTACTTGTTCAGAACAAAGTTTGAGGCCAGCAGCATGAAAAGGCTAAATTCGTTTCCTTGGCAGACGTACCCCCGGCTTGCAATTTCGAACGCCAGTCTCCCTAGACCAGCCCCAGGCACAAGAACTTTCACTTCGTCCTTGGGTCTGGAACGTTCCAAATATAAATAAGCAACATAGGATAAAGTTCAAAATTAAATACCTAAGAGGATCATCAGGAAATTGTCTCTGGATTTCCTCGATAATGGGCAGGTAACAAGCGTTTCTCTCTTCCTCTCCATCTTTACTCCAGTCTCGGACTAGCTGTTTGATGGTGGCTATCACCTTGTCGATTTCCCCCAGAGTCGGAGGCCCAATGTCTTTTTCCTCTCTCATCTAAATGAGAAATAATTTTAGAACTTGTACAAATTTGCCACGAAAAATTAATTATAAATTTTATACCGAAACTTGAAATGGCGACGCCTCTTCAAACATGTTGACGTGTTGCAAAATTTGCTGGATGACCAAGTCATTTCTGGCGATGCAGTCGGACACTCGGTAAAGGTGCTCCTTGTAGCCGGACAACAATTCGCGGTGGTGCTCTGGCAGTTCGCACAAATACTTCTCGGTCTTTGCCAACTTGTTCAAGCTGCAGATTCTGCAAAAAAAAATGGTTCCATTTGTTTTCATTAAACAAAATCACAACGAATTTTCCGTTACTTGTATCGCTTGTAGGCGTTGATAATTCGCAAAAAGTGGCGATACTCTTCCTCGTCGGCGGACACGCCGTTCCGGTCTCCGTTGTTTCGCACGTCGGCCTCGGCCATTCTCTGTCGTCGATTCAAAAGAGCTGAGGAGTGTGTCTGTCGGATTCCTCAGTGGGTCGCACGTAAACTCTGTGCAGCGTTAATTTGTCCTTCGGACTCTTCCACTCAATTGAGAGGATTATATCCTGAGAGCGAGAAATGTGACAACGCTAATTGTAAACAAGGCCGGCCAGTCTTTGCGCGGGTTTGCGTGCCAGACAAACGAGGCAGGCAAAACATGACGACGAGACGCGCCGCAGATGACGAATAAAACGTGCTCCGGCGGCCACGCCCCTTTCGTTGAAAAACAAAAAATAATTATTAGGACTGCGACGAGGCAGTCGATCAGCTTTTCTCGGAAGAAAGCCAAGCACCGTGAGTTTTTAGACCGCGGATACCCCACAGAGTGAGTTGTCCAAAGTTCATAAATACATACATTTATAATAAAAAAATTTGTACAGGTTAAATTGTTTTTTTAAAGTTCATAAATACACGCGCGCGGTGTGAAAGAACCCCTCAATTCAAACATAATGCACTTTTTCATGCGCAAAACCTCATCCGTTTGTGTTATCTTGCAAAATTCTGTCTGTTTCTATTTATCTCCTTTTATAAGAGGCTTTTAGTTTTAATTTTTGATGGTTTTTATATTGAAAAAAAAATTATCTTGCAATTTATTTATATTGGCAATTTTATTTACATGTAACTTCATAGATAAAAATCTTATCTCGGAAAATACATTGCTGCTGCTGCTGCAATTTTTTTGGCAACTCGAAAGATTCTATATATCTGCGTCTAAATAATAAACAATTTGATTGTCTTATGGAATTATTACAAAAATAATTTTTCTATTGAACAGGAACATTTAGAACTATATTATATAGAATATAAAAGAATTCAAATAACAAAGACTTGACTGTGTTCAATAAGAACATTTATGAACACTATACTTATAATTGTATTACATACGTAATTGTATTTTCACTCTTTGCTTTCCCTCAGATAAAAACCTCCAGTACCATGACAATACGTGATAGTATCTGATAGGAACAGAACTACTATACTGTAAAATGGCTAGCGAAATTCAAAGCACCAAGGTATCACTTTTGTCGGCCAAATATTTAAAATATTTGCATGTTTTATTTATTTATTACCTTCTTTTATATCTGCAAATTTTCATTTTCTTTCAATTTTTTTCAGTCGACCTTAACATGGCCTCTGTTAGCGGCGGCTGTTGTCACTTTTCTGGGGTCATCGGTGCCAGCAGGGTACAACATCGGAGTTATAAACACTCCTCAATTGGTATGGAACAAATTAATGATTATTTTTCATAAATTGGGAAAAAGCATTATTTTTATTCTTTATTTATGATTCTGGAAGTATTGCTGCAAAATAAAAATTCCTTTCAATGAAAAAAATTATGTAAATGTTATAATAGTTTGCTACATAAAGCAGATTTTCATATTAATACATATTTTTTTTTTGATAGGCTAGCACCTGGCACTTGAAAGATTTTCTTATCATTGTTTGCATTATTTTTAACTTCTAGTTTTATCTTGAAAATCAAATTAATCTTCGAGAGCAAAATTAATTTTAGATATCAAAAATGTCTTGTGCTAGATTATTTTATTTTATTTGCAGGGTATGCCTTTTGCATACTTTTTCAAATTCCCAAAAGAAAATTAAATTTTGTATTTTTTCTTTAATCTTCACTAATTATGAATTCTCTTTTTATTTAAATTGTAATTAAAATTCTGGAATATTTTTTATGGAAATATGGCTTTGTTTTATTTCGTTTGTAATAATATGAAGCGAAGGATCATCATTATTTAAGTTTCCAATGTTCAAATTACCACGCTTCCGTTAAGTTTGAAATTTTTTTTTCTAGATAATAAAAGAATTCTGCAACCAAACTATCATCGAGCGGTATTCGACAGAACTGAGCGAGTACTCGTTGGACATTTTCTGGTCATGGGTGGTGTCCGTCTATATCATCGGAGGCACACTAGGCTCGTTTTCCGGGTGCTGGTTTGCAGATAAATGGGGACGGTGAGTGAATCAAAATCATATTTTCAATTTTTAAATTTATTCTGCTTCATTTTTCGAAATATGTGCTAGACTTTTGTCTCCTCGCTTAGTCGTCGGCCGTGTGCTTGGTCTTGGCGAGCAACACAGGGTTGGGTTTGTACTTGGTCAGGTGCGTGTGGTGGGGGCACTCCCTGTGCTCGGAGGAGAGCCAGCAGTCGCCGATGTAGGGCTCGATGGTCTCCATCAGGTCTCGGACGGCCTCGGTGGTCCTGCTGCGGTACTGCTTGTTCTTGCTGAACTCCCTCACGGCCGTCTCTTCGTCGGACAAGCCCTGCTTGGCCGCCCCAAATTCGGTGGCCACAACCATGGCTCTCAGGGCCACGCCGAGAAGTTTGGTCTCCATCAGGGCCTCAGCCAGGTGGCTGCTGCTCAGTAATCCAACCGAGGTCGGCAAGGCCGAGTGGTGCTTTTTCTGGCACTTTTCCAGCGTCTTGTTGAACTCCTCTCGGTACACTTCCAGCAAGAGATTGACCTTCAAACACAAATTAATTAAATCAATTAAAAGAAAAAAAAATATGCTTTTTCTGCTGAATCAGGCAAAGTCTAGTCGCCCTGTGCCCATTTTAGTTATGCAGAAGGCACCTATAAAATTTTAAAAAATTGCAGAAAAAATATTTTTTCCCCATAAAATTAAAAAATGAACATATTTTTCAATTTTTACACAAAATTTTCTTAACCGATTTCTTTTGTTCATAAATTTAAAATTAATTTTTAACATTAACAATTGAAATTCTTAAATTTTTTGTCAATTTATGAAGCTTTTTTAAAATTTTTGGAATGAAAAAAAAAATATTCAACACAGGTTCATAAAATTTTACTAATTTTTATCGGTCATTTTTTTGTCAATATAACTTTTTATGATTATTGTTTTATTATCTATTAAATTTTTTGCACCTTTGAAGACCGGACTTCTCGGTCGGCGGCGCAAAAGAGGATGAGCGAGATGTCGACGGCCGGTCTGCAGTACCGCACCTGGCCCAGGCCGATAAGCTTGCACTGCACGGGTCGGTGACGCTGGTCCTGGATGAATAGCAGGTTGCTTGCGTTCAGGCAGTTGGTGTGGCACAGGGTGTTGAGGTGCTCAGGTTGGGGCGTCAGGATTTCCTCGAGCAGACGGTGCAAGTGGCGTTGGACGAAGCGCACCACCCTGCTCACGTCGCGGCCAGGGAGGAGGTGCTGCGGCTCCATGTGCGGGCCCAGGGCGCCGATCACTCGCATGCCCCTCTCGTACAGGTTCTCCAGCGCACTCGTCATGCACCTGAAAAGTTGAAATTTTTAAATTAACTGCTGCTTTTTTATCTTTCCATCATTTCCATTATTTTAAATTTATTTCCTATTTAGAGAAAGAAAATTAAATTTATTACATCTTTTTTACTTTTTTTTTTTTAAACACGCAAATTCGTTAATACTCATTAATTTAAATTTAGCTATTGTTCATTTTGAATTTTGGAATTCTGTCACAATGTATTTTTCTTTCTTTCTAGGAATGAATCTATATCTGGTCAACATTTTATTGCTTTCAAAACATTTTCTTCTATATTTCGCTTTTAAATGAATACAATTAATAAATTAATATATTTTTAAGAAACTTTTCTTACTTGTCTGGCACCAAAAACGGGAAGGCCGTCTTCAAGTAGGAGCCCCTCTTCAGTTTGGGGTCTGAGCGGTCGACGACGGCCGAGCTGCCGTGCAGTACGGCCAGAGCCCTGAGGGCGGCCGAGCAGTGTCGGAAATCCATCTCCGTTTGCTGATAGGCTGGCCTGAATCCGTCGACGTGGAGATCCTGCAGGACCAGCACCGAAGGTCCGTTGGTGTCGCAGCCGGGTTCAGGGGCGCCCTTGTGGAAGGGCTGCGAGGGGTTGCGGTGTTTGGGGAATTCGCAGACGCCCCTGGTCAGAAATCCTCGGGGCACCGGCGACTGCATCGTCTGCACCATGACGTGGCGCAGCTGCGGGTCGACGTGTCTGTAGAAGGCCAGTTCGCGGCTGAAGAGGCGCTGCCCTTCGGCCGACCTGGGCTGCTGCTTGACCACCACGCTGGCCTTGAACTGCTTGACCTGGTTCTCGACCATCAGCGAGTAGATGAGCTTCAACTTCTGCACCGTCGGGTAGCCGGACAGTGGTGTTGAGTCCTGTCCGAGCAGACACAGGGTGTCGCAGTTGCGCGGGAAGAGCATGTTCTTGAGCGACGCCATCACGTCCTCTGGCTGCAGAAGTTCGCTGGCCTTGGCCGACGACTTCGCGGTGCTCTTGCCCGAGGTCGCCGAATTTGAAGTTCGGGCGGTGTCGCCGGTGCCAGACGAAATTCGGCTGGCGGAAGACCTGCTCGTGGTCGTGGACGGTGCCTTCCATTGGTGGTTCATTTTTGAAAAGAATTATCTAGGAGTTGCTGACGAGGAAAGAATTTTGTCTGAGAGATGCGACTGCTGAGAACGGCCGTTAGCGTTTGAATTTGAATGCAACAATTGCAATTTCTCCAAGAATCAGAAGCTCAAGATTTTTGAGTTTCAAAAATTCCAGCAGAAAAACCATTGTTGCAATAACTCCTATTATTTTAATGAACAAAATGAAATACATGAATACATAACTATTCAAATAAAAGTTATAAAATTGTAAAGGAAAATTTGATTTGTTTTTTTTTCCTTAAAAATTGAAAAATAATCTTAAATAAAGAGAATATTATGTTTTTAAAAATGAACTTAAATAATTAATCTAATTAATAATAGTTTAAAATTTTAAAATTAAGTTTGAAGAAAAAGCATGTGTATAAATTTAATATAATCAATAAAATTAATGTTTGAAAATTTTTAATTTTACAAGTTTCAATAGGTCTTTAAAAATTTTATATATTAATTCGTTTCTTTGAAATATACACAAAACTGCACAAAACCATGTTAATAGATTTTTCTTTATCATTCTTTTCTTATTGTTTTAGTAAAGGAGCCATCCTTGTGAATAACCTATTGGGAGCAGTGGCTGCAGCACTTTTTGTTGCAACTCCAATTGCTAAATCCGTTGAAATGCTGATCATCGCACGCTTCCTTGTTGGACTTTCATCTGGTTAGCTGTTTTTATAATAATATTATTTTTACGCATCAATTTTTGCAGGACTGACCACAAGCGTTGTGCCAATGTACATGATGGAGGTTGTCACTTTAGACTTGCGAGGGCCTATGGGAGTCCTTTGCCCGCTCGGCATTTGCTTCGGCGTTCTTGTGTCACAAATTTTGGGACTGGAATTTATTTTAGGCAAGTTTTTTTCTCGTAAAAAAATTAATTTTCTTTGCTAATTTACATTTGCAGGTTCTGCTGAAACTTGGCATTACTTACTTGGCCTATACGGAATCCCAGTTTTGATCTGCATGGCGTTTTTGCCTTACCTGCCCGAGAGCCCAAAATATTTGTTCGTCATAAAGAAAGACGAGGACAAATGCACAAAAGGTAATTTTTATAATCTTGCACTTGTATCATAATTAAAAATTAAAATTTTCAGCGCTTTCAAGACTTCGAGGTCTTCCCGAGAGTGCCTTAAAAACTGAAATCCTAGAAACAAAGGCTGCAAGTCTGAGAGAAATTAGCGCAGGCCAGTGGGGAATTGTTCGGTTGATCAAATCAAAATCTCTCCGTTGGCCCCTCATCTTGGTTTGCGCCATGCAAGGAGGACAACAGTTGAGCGGCATCAATGCTGTATGAACCTCTATTTTTCGTATTTTTTTACACTTAAAATTTTATTTAAAAAAGGTATTTTACTATTCCGTGCCCATATTTCTGAGTGCCGGACTGAACAAAGAGAGTAGCCAGTACGCCAGTATTGGCGCTGGAGTTGTCAATTTCCTTGTGGCTGCACTCGCAACTTTCCTCATTGGTCGATTCCGTCGGCGCGCCTTGATGCTTTTTAGCTGCACGACTGTAATTGTGTGCCTTTTACTGCTGGCTGTTTCAATTTACTTTATGGTAAAATCAGTGATAGATATTTTAACCTAAAAAATAAATTTACAAAAAATAAATTTCAGGAACAATTTTCATGGTTGTCTTATGTTTCGGTCGTGGCAATGCTTTCTTATGTATTTTTCTATGGATTGGGACTGGGACCCATTCCATATTTCATTGCCTCAGGTAACAAAATTTAACAATTAAAATTTTTTAACCTTATAGTGTTGAATTCAGAGCTCTTCACGGTTGGACCTCGCTCGGCTGGAATGGCGTTGGGGAGCATGGCTAACTGGGGAGCCAACTTTTTAGTCGGCATGACTTTCCCTTCCGTAAAATCTGCCATCGGCGCTCTTTCATTCCTGCCTTTTGCCACGTCTACAGTGATTCTTACTTTTTTGGTTTGGAAAAAACTGCCGGAAACCTTCGGAATAGATCCTGCAGGATCTAATGAGTTGAGCTCAGAAGAAATCGCTCTTCAGGAAGAGTCGCCGACCAAAGAATCCTAAACTATATAATATATTTACTTAAAAAAATCATGCACAAATGTTTTTTATGCCAAATTTTTTATTTTTAACTTTATTCGCACTTTGCACGCTGCCTTGAATTGGGCTTTCAGATCTGGCTTTGTTGAAAATACGCTTTTTTAATAAATTTTGTATACACACTTCCGGATTTTAATATATATTTTTAGTGTATGTATATCACAAATTCAACTTGATTTTTGAACCCTGTTATTACTTGTGTAAGTGTTGCTGACAATGCTGACACTAATTGTAAATCAATAACACTATGTGTTGAATGTACGTCCAGGACAAAGTTTAAGATGACAAATGATCAAAATGAGTGAAATTTTATATATTTCCTTCCATTCTTCTCTGATAAGACGCTGAGGTTACAACTGGCTCTTCATAAGCCCTCAACTCAAAATGAAAGGTCTTAACATTCTCTCCATATTTCTCTTTGGTGCTGAGGTGTGTTTCTGGATCACCACAAATAATTACTCCATAATTATAAATCAACTTTACAACAAATAGGTAGCGCTATGTTCTGAGCATTGTGACCCCGGCTCACTTTCTCAAGCTGTTGCCATCTGCTGCGGCTCTCCACCAAATCTCAACAAGGAACCACTGCTCTTCTCAGTCCTGTCCAGTGGCCGTTCGGAGGTCAAGGGTGCTGCACCTGGAAGATGCACCACAGTCACAGGTATGGTGATCTTCCCACCTATGCCGTCCGTATGTTGCCCAGGTCCTCACGGCCGAACTTGCTGCTACGCCTCTTCGGCTCGATCTCAACCTACCGGAGAGTGGTCTTTTCTCTCAGAGGAATCTGATCTCTGTATTATAAATTTATTGTTAAGGAGCTAAATTTATTTCATGATTTATTTCTTGTTTAAACAGGGACTTATGTTTTTGCTGCAATGATTATTGTCATCACCATGTCATTACTTACGCTGTTGGCCTACTGCGTGCAGGCCGTGTTTGAGAGGAGCAAAAGAGCAATCAAACAGAGGCAATATCAAGAAATATTAAACAATCGGCCTCTCACTAGTCTTGGAAATTTTGAGCAACTGCCATTTCACATTTGATGGACTGAATCTAAATTTTAAAGTGCATAAAAAGAATATTATTATTTTTTATAATTTTGTATGAAAAAAGAATAGAGAATCAATAAAGTGGCGGAGTGAACTATCTACACAAACATATCGCTATGTCAATTGATCAATTTCAACTGGTTCTTTGTATGTCCGTCGGGCGCCCAGTGGTGCCCACAGCCTTGGCCGGCGCATTCCTTTGTGTTTGCCACCAAACGAAGTGGGCCTTGCCCTAGTTGGGTAACAAAATGTATGCACAGCAACGTACTCGACCAAAGCTGGCGGGTCGTCAGTCGGTTATCACCAGGAGCCCATACAAGTCAACTCCCACGAGACAATTTGTTTATTTCAGCAAAGGGCAATCAATCCTGAATGAAAGGCGCGTGTTTATTATTCACAGAGTTGTTTATTTCTGACAGTCTGAACCAGGCACATCACATAAGATCTTCAACCAATTTCAGAATATATCTCGCTCACATATTGTTTTGCTCATGATTATTGTACACATTTAAAAGAAAATCAACAACAGAAGCAGACCCATTGTCGGCGGCTCCAAATGTTCTTTTTTGTCTCGGAACATTTGCATTCATTTTATACACAGGAACGCGCGCGTTTGCAGTATGTATAATCCGGCATAATCAAATAATGTAACAGGCGGTCTAATACTTGATCGTACAAGAACAAAAGGAAAGAAGCAGTATGCGGTGGTTCCAATGAAAAATTGAAGCCTGTTTTGCGAAAACTCTGCTGTGACGTGTGACCTTGAATGCGAGTCCAGAAGCATCTTTGTTTAATTATCTGTTGTATTATTTTACAATCTATAGTTTCATTAAGAAATTGGGGAGAAGAAGTGACCACACATAACTAATCTCATCGTCCGGACAAGCCCGGAAGCCAGAGGCCATTCACAATAATGTTTATGTAAAAAAATGGGGGCCCAGAAAGCAAAGGGGTGCTTTCAGTTAAAAAGATTTTCTTTAGATGTGCTGTTCCAAGTCAATGCCGGGCACGAATAAATAATTTAATGTAGGGCGGATCATTAACAAAAATGCAGATAACAAGTGTCCCTTAAAACTAGAGATGATATAATGCCACAGACTGACGATCGAAACACAGGTTTCGATTCACCGTTTTCAGTGTTAGCGACCAAACATTGATGACAAAAGGATATTATTAATTAGAGCATTTTATACAGCTTTACACCCTAACGATAAGTAAGACCAAAGTACTATGGATTAACGTATCAATTCTGAATTGCCTCCGTCAACTTGGGACAGCACGCAACCAATGGCCAAAACAGAGCAGTGTTTTTTTGTTACCTATTACAATTTGCCTAGAACTTAGCTTACAGGACATTCTGCATGGTTATTTTTCTCTTAATTATTTCCACATTGTTGCTCGGCTCGAGAACTCCGTCGCGCCAATTTCCAAAGCGGCGTTAACAAGGGTTCAAATGCAGTGAGCGTTGCGGTGGCTTTCTTAACATGGGGGCAGGGAGCGCGCGGGGGCCTCGCGCCGAGCAACCGACACTTCTTTTTTGCAATAGTAATCTTCGATAATTAATTATTTAATTACTCCTCAGGCTGGGATAAAATGCAGCCAAATGTTGTTGAACCTACAGCTGCGTGTGCTTTGGGACTTGTGGCGTGTTCGGTCCACTTGGTTGCTGCTAAATCACGCCAGCTGACCTTAGCCTAGGCTTAAAGGAAGTAATCGGGTGTCCGGCGGGTGACGTGGGGTTCCCCTCTACGAGGAGCGGGATCAAACTGCAGGCTGGAATGAAAAAGAGAGATTAGATAATAAGTTATCAGTGATTTGTAAGAATTGAATTAAAAATTGAACAACATTCAAGTTATGGGGGGAGAAATGAAAACTAAGGGAAAACCTGGTGTCGATTTTAACTGCATGACGCAATTTGTATAAAATGATTTCCTTTTGTTGAACTTACAATGAATACTTCAGGGCGTCATCAAGTTCCATAATGGCGGCCTGGTTCCCACAGCGATAGCAATAGTTGGGGGCAGAGAAAATTGTCACTACGTTTCGATCATGACACCTGAAACAAGAAATAATTTTTGTAACAATTTCTGGTTTATCAAGTAAAAACTAACCAATTGTATCCCTCCATAACAAGTTGGTGAGCTCGAGACACGAGGGTGAGTCCATTTGTGTGGTTGAATGTTTCTGAGATGTCCTGTCCGAAGGTGTAGCCTGCACCTCGGGGCGAAATGCCCCATCCACCTCGGTCGTCAGGATCGGACCACAGAAGGTCGCACATGGGACCCTGCAATGGAAAAAAATTACGAGTCAGCATGCGTTGTGTTTACATCTCAGTCGTAATCAATGGCGGCGGAGGTGTGAAGTCATATCAGTGACGCATTATCAGAACAAATTAATGTGATTCAGCTGTTGCGAAAATGCACCCAAGAGACTGTTTTGAAACTGTCAGCACAATTCCAATCGACATTTTCATCTGGGATTTGCAGCGGTTTTGTCTTGTCAAGGTTTGGAGCGCAATTCGCGTCTCTTCCGAATGATTTGAGGCGCAGTCGTGCGATCAAAGGCAATTGAAGCAGACGCCTGTGGCGACTCTAATTAACCTTGGGATGCACCACTGCATAAGAGCAGCGATTGATTTTGTTGGCAGCACACTCGTCCTTAACTTAAACTCTGCTAATTTTGATGATAAACAAAGTTGTGGAAAATCGAGTGCAAGTGAATTGATCTTTTAAAAGTTCTGCAAGGGAATATTTTCTGGAATTTAGTATAAAAAGGGATTTATTGACGGCAAAAGTTTTTAGTCACTTGAATCTTTAACGTAAATTTCAGACATTGGCAATCAAAAAGTTGGATATTTTATTAACCGTTTTGTTAAATAATTATCAAGATATCATGCTTAGGCCCAACAAAAAATGATTTAATTCAATGCTACAAAAACATTGATTTCGCTTCTCACTTATCAAGTAAATGTTAAAAAAAATTATCTTTTACGTGGTTCTTCAATATCAATTCTGAGGTCATTTAGCCTCATTTGTCAACTTGATAAGGGTTTTTAAGTCACAATTTACACTCAAGAAACAGAACCTTAATATGTAATCAAAAGTTAAAAAATATTTTGTATGACGTTCTTGGTTCAAAATTTAAGTAATATTTCTCATTAAGGTTAATAATATTACCTACTAATTTCATAATAAAAACCCTAAGGTTATCAGCAAAGTTTGAAAAAACCGGCACCTTGAAAAATAATTCCCAGTTTATTTCTGACTGTTCTTATATCAGAGTTTGGATAACGACTTAGGGGCTTCGCATTAATGTGATGTCATACGCGATGCAAAAATCTAAAAACCGACTTTCAGGATGAGAAAAGCTTTTTTGACTCACCTCGTGAGGTACTTCCTGCAGACGGTCGAGCGCCCTGATGTGGTCGAGGGTGTCGATCGAGGGCGACAGACCGCCGTGTAAACAGAAAATTTGGCCGTCGACCAGGGCTGTCAGGGGCAGGTAGTCGAACAGGTCTGTGAAGAACTTCCACACATTGGCGTTGCCGTATTTTCTTAAACACTCGTCGTAGAATCCGTAGACTTGGGTGATTTGCCTCGACTCGTGGTTGCCTCTAAGGATGGTTATTCTTTCTCTGTAGCGCACCTGAGAACACAAAAAGTCCATCGTAATTAACATAAGTTGCACAGAAGGTCAGACAAAAGTCAAGGGACGACCTTCGTCAGCGGAGCAATAACCAAGGTTGTGCTTCTTATTTAAATTTAAGTTATACCGATTCAAGTGCGCCGAAGACAAATTTATTTATGCTAATTAATCTAAAGTATTGATCTACCGCATGAGATTTTTTTTTTAAAATTAGCTTTTCATGATTCGATGATATTTGAAATAAATAGTGTATAAAGAGGAATGTTTCTAAATTTTCAAATATGAAAATTTGATATATAAGTTCAATATTTTATTATTAAAAAAAGCTGTCCAATAGCTATTTTCAGTTAGATTTTGTAGAAAAATACCATGCTTTAGTTTATAATTTATAAAAATTGGGAACTGGAAAATCTTGAAAATATGATTGAAGCAAAATTCAATTTCTTTTTTAATATAATCAATCACTAATTATTCTTTGCAACTTCATTTCATCAATTAATAAGTACCACATGACAAAGCCAGCATATGAATCATTCAATGAGATTGAACTGTGCAGGAAATTACTCACTAGACACACAGGCTCAAGGGCCGCTTCCGTTCTATTATTATTTTAATGAAGGCAAGGACAACACATTCTGAGAAACAAGTGTTGTGACGGCTCTCTTAACCCCTAGTACTTTCCCATACAAAGCTTTCTCATTAATAATCAAAAGTAAAAAAATATGTTCAATTCTCGGCTCTGTTGCAAACACCAAAATCGGAACCGTTTTCATCAAATAAAATATTCATAAGTTCAATAAAAATACATAAACCTAAATGGTAAAAACGAAGCCTTAGATTTTAATTCCGTCCAACGAACTCAACGTCAGAGAGTGACTTTCGATCTAAAGTACAAGTCTAGCATTTTCTGGAGAGCAAAGTGACTCTCACGGCACCGAAGCCACACCTGAGAAAGCTTCGAGGGATCAACTATCACCACACGGAACAAGAAACCTGAGACGCAGGGGCGTCATTCAAAGGGTCCTACACAATGCAAAACCTTTACTAATTAGCAGCGACCTTGCACAAGTGATAAACACAATCAATAAATAATAAATACGCACCTTCAACGCCACTAGAAGTGTTACTGTCTCTACGGAGTAATAACCACGATCAACGTAATCGCCCATAAACAAATAATTTGTGTCTGGCGACCGGCCGCCGATCCTGAAGAGCTCCATCAGGTCGTGGAACTGGCCGTGCACGTCTCCGCATACCGTCACTGGACACTTGACCTCTTGCACGTTTGACTCTTTGGAAAGGATTTCCTTGGCCTGCAAACATGTCATTGCGCGTTTATTAATAAATCACACACGCCCAAAATACATCTCGGGTGGTCGATGAAGTGGCGGCCGCCCACCGGCCGCCTCCGCACGCGTCGGTCGGAGGCCGCCGGGGCGGGAAACCACCGTGGCCGCCGCAGTTGGGATTCGAATGCGGACACGGGGGCTGATTAGCGGTTGTAATGAAGTACTCACCTTGTCGCACAGGGTCTTGACTTGACTCTCTGTCAACTGCTTGCAGTCGTTGAGCTGTTCTATCCACTGGTCCAATTCTTTTAGCGACGCTTTTTCCTCCATCGCGGCGATGTGCACGGATTCTTAGGCTAACAAGAACTAGAACGACGGATTGCACTGGCCGACTACTTCGTCCACGATCGCATACGAGGAAAATATCCGCTTTTTCTGACACAGGTGAAGTTTGTGTTTCGTACAAAATGGCGTTGGCAATCGTCGTTTCTTTTATAACTCGTAAAGTGGAGCCGACTGTGACGTCACACGAGTGAAAGAGCCGCGTTTGGCGCCATCTCTGACTCTCAATGAAACTCGGCGCGCGAATTTTTCACTCGTTAATTTGCCCAAATTGTTTAATTTTTACAAGTTGATTTTAATTTGAATCATTTGAAAATTAAAAAATCAATTTGTTTCAAATTTTGCATACATATTATACACTGGCAAGATTAGAATTCAGCCGGATTTAATTCTTGAATTCGGGACGAATCCAAAACATTTCAAATCACGAAGAGACACCTAGCGGCTGTTTACGAAAATTCTTCTTTCATTTGCCGGCTAGTGGATGTGAGTGCTTGAATTTTGTTCGTCGGAAAATCCGCTAAAATCTTGGTAATCTTCACAGTTCCTCCGCGGCAAAATGACCGAAACTCTTCAGCTGCGTGGTACCCTTCGTGGACACAACGGATGGGTGACCCAAATCGCCACCAACCCCAAATATCCGGATACAATCCTGTCATGCTCCCGTGGTATGTTTCACACCGCCCTCCATCCATGACACGTGTTTCGATTTTCTATGTTTTTCAGACAAGACCCTGATCGTCTGGAAGCTGACGAGGGACGACGCTAACTACGGCTTCCCTCAGAAGCGTCTCTACGGTCACTCGCACTTCGTGTCCGACGTGGTTCTTTCTTCGGACGGTAACTATGCTTTGTCTGGCTCCTGGGACAAGACCCTGCGTCTTTGGGACTTGGCTGCCGGTAAAACCACTCGTCGCTTCGAAGATCACACTAAGGTGCGATGAACTGCGAAACAAACCCCAAAAAACGGAAGATTTTTTTTCATATTTTTTTATAACTGAATATATTAAGAAGATTTATTCCTGGTCAAACGGTAAGTGCTGCAACTTGCTTAGCCTTACCCCCCAAAATGTTCTGAATGATTATTCATTTAAAGCGTGAAAAATTTTATGTGCGCTACTTTTGCGGATATGGGAATGATGGAACATTTAAATTTGACCAATTGCCCCAGCCCTCAAGGCATAATTTTGTGCGATGACCCAGCCTAATATCACAATTTTCAGGACGTGTTGAGCGTGGCCTTCTCTGTTGATAACAGACAGATTGTCTCTGGCAGCAGGGACAAGACCATCAAGCTGTGGAACACCCTTGCCGAGTGCAAGTACACCATCCAGGAGGAAGGACACACTGACTGGGTGTCATGCGTCCGCTTCTCCCCCAACCACCAAAACCCCATCATTGTCTCCTGCGGCTGGGACAGGATGGTCAAGGTACATAATAGCTTTTTAAAACTTAAAATTCTGATACTAATTTCATTTAAAATGTTAAGGTTTGGAACTTGACCAACTGCCGCCTGAAGATCAACCACATCGGCCACACTGGCTACCTGAACACTGTCACCGTCTCCCCCGACGGTTCCCTGTGCGCGTCTGGTGGCAAGGACTGCAAGGCCATGCTCTGGGACTTGAACGATGGCAAGCACCTGCACACTCTTGACCACAATGACATCATCACTGCCCTTTGCTTCTCCCCCAACCGATACTGGCTCTGCGCCGCTTTCGGACCTTCCATTAAGATTTGGGTAAGTTTTTGATCCGTAAATTCAGTTTTATTGGAATACTAATTTTTTATTTATTTTAGGATCTGGAAAGCAAGGACATGGTTGAGGAACTGCGACCTGAGGTCGTGTCTCAGTCCAAGGCTGAACCTCCCCAGTGCTTGTCCCTTGCCTGGTCCACTGATGGACAGACCCTGTTTGCTGGCTACTCCGATAACACAATCCGTGTTTGGCAAGTGTCGGTGACGTCTGTAACTTCTCATTAAAATGGACTTTAATTCCTTATAAATCCATGTGGATTTCATTTCGACTCGCCTTTTGGTGAACTCCGAATGTTAGGCATTTTTTATTTTGTAAGTTGTAAATAAAATCAACCCCTTCAAACCAAATACATCTTGCTCCTTGATATTATTTAAGATAAAAATTTATCATTGTTTAATATTAGAGATTTTAAGTTCACTTTTTTTTGAAAAATGCCTCTTCTGGGTTTCTTTCTAATAGAATTATTAATTAATACTTTGCCGGCATAACTTGAACTGATGGAAAGAAATATGATTCAAATTATCTAATGAGATGTTCAATTAAGTAGGGTCACAACAATGAAATACTAAAGTTTGGATGATAATGAGGAAATTTTATTAAAAAATCAGATTCTTTTTTGAAATGACATCTTTTTAAGAGCTTCCACACTTCCAACTGCAGTGAAATATTTTAATCAGTTTCCACAAAATATTTTTAAATTAAACCTCCAATAGAAATTAACAATGCATAAAATTTAATTGCTGGATAATAACAACTATAGTTTTATAAATAATTCATGGATTATTAAAAGATAAAATTAATATTTTGAGCAAACTCTTATGCGCCCTTAAGGGAAGCAAACTAACCAACAGCATTCTTCGATGAACCTAATTTGTCTTCCGTTTAAATAATTTTGAAATCGTCTCACATGCTTTTGAGCTTCTAAAGGCATTTGCAAGCCTTTAGACTTAAGACCTATCTAAATAAAGAAAGAGCGTCACCCTTATATTTTACTAAGGGATGCGTCTCCACTTAAAATAAAGCGCGAATAATTATTATTGATTGAAGATTTTGATCCGTAATTACATAACTTAAATTCCATTCAGCTGCCAGAATCCACCGAAATCTCAAATCTCACAATGTTCGGGGCGTCATAGTTTCGTAGAAAAATATAACATGCAAAGTTGCAGTCACATTTTTACGGGCGCCTTTAGAAAAAAAGGGTCCCTTGAAAGGCCACCAATAAGTCTCATTTCCACTAGCCAAGCTTCATTCCTGTGTCCAGCTGGAGCATCTGCTTCATCAACTCGTAGGTCGAGAAGGACACAGCCACCATTGGAATGGCTCTCATGTAGTTAATGCTCATGCCTCGGTACAGTCCTTTGACCACTCCGTTTTCTTTGTAGATCAGTTGCAGAGTTTTCACCATGCCATAACTGGAATTTTAAGTAAATCTATTACGATGCTGCGATAATTCAAATTATAAAAACAAAAATTGAAAATCAAACAGGATTGAGTGAAGAAATTTCCTAAAATAAATTCATAAAGCTCTAATTTCTAAAAATATCAGTTTTTCAGTATTTAAAGCAGCAATTACTCTTTTAATTGAAAATCTATAAAAAATATTCATGGTCCAGTCAGTTTGACTCATGAATTGTGAGATGGACAGTACAATGCAGCAGAAGGACGGTCACATGAAGCAATAAAAAAATGGTGATATCAACAACTAGTTTTGACTTACTGTCTTCAAGTATTCAATGGAAGAGCACAGTCCACAAGAGCAAAGAAAAAGAAAGTTGTTTAAATTTACAAATGCTTAGTAATTTTGGGAGGATCACTAATCACAAAAGCAATTTAATACTTTTGCATATTCATTTAAATTCTTGGATAATAAAATTTAAGCTGGATGCTAAGAAAAATTAGCGTGGAAAACACTTACCCAAATTTCTTGGTCTCGGGCATCATCATCGCGAGCTGCATGCGACGCCTTGTGACGTCCAAAGGGTAAGAGACGCTTTGGGCGACAGCACCTGCAAGTCCTCCACACAGAAGCTTGGCAGGGATGGTCAACACAAGGCCACCTGAAAAACAGAAAAGGGAAATTGAACATTTAAATTTTTAATTTATTTTAAAATTTCAATTTTATTCTGATATTTATTTAAAAAGAACTCATAAAAAACGATTGTAAAAATTAAATTAATTGATAAAATTACACTGAAAATCCTTAGTCCCGTCGCAGCACTAACTAGTCCCATCGCAGCACTAGTTAGTCCCGTTGCAGCACTATTAGTGCAGTCACGGAACTAACTAGTGCTGCGACGGGACTAAGGATTTTCAGTGTAGAAAATTTTGGTGATTTTTTTTTTAAATATCTTCTGAATTTTGTGTGTGTGGACATGCCTGTGTTTCTATTGCACGGGGAAGAGGTCCAGTCGGGAATGTACTTCATGCTGAGGAACTTGAGTCTCTCAAAGCAGTAGAAAGAAAGTCCTGCGTACGGAACCATTCCGCAGAGGGTGGGCAGGAAGCCTCGGTACAGCGCTCGAACTCCCCCTTCCTACCAAACAAAACAATGAGACACGTTTAATTGGCACTTTGCGAATACAGAATTGACAAGTCAAGGGCGACCAGTAGTGCTAAATTACACAGTCCGCTTTTGGCTACAACTTCCTTTGCTCAATTATCACAGCCAGTCTAAAATCTCTCTCAAGGGCAAAGACCGATATTATGTTTGTTGCTAAACAACAGAAAGCACGGTGACACTTTTACTTTGTTGTTCGAAAAAAAGATGCGGCTGGGTGACGTTGTGTGGGTTGAACTTTGTGGAATAAAATTATATGTCAAGGGTCAAGCGGTTTAATCGTTAAATCCCACAATTCGCGGTTGCACTAGAAAAGTGAATAAAAAATGACGGATGTAGGTCAAGTGAAAAATGCTTTTGTTGAATGAATATAATGTGGTTTCTTTATAAGAAAGCCACAGAGGTAATAATTTTTTCCTTTGAAAAGTCAAACGCTGAACTCTTAATTCTGAAAAGAATTAAACAATTTGTTAATAATTAAATTCAAAGCTTAAACAAATTTAATCTTTTTAAATTTAAAAAAAATTTAATTGTCAATTCTTGCCATTTCATTTTTTTTTAAATAAAAAATTATTAGTTTTCTAATTAAAGCAGAAATTTCTTTTGTCTGGTTTTACCTCTTTGAAGATGCATACTGCTGTGTGGACGATTCCAGTGTAGACATGTTCTCCAGTGACCTGGAAGGCCAGTCGAGCCCTGATCGTGTCGAGGGGGTAGGTGAGGGTGACGGCAGTCACTCCAGCACCTGACCCGGCCAAAAACTTGCTGGCGTGAGAGTTCGGTCCTAAAGCGTTGGTCAAAATCTTGAAATACCACAAGAACAAATTAAACTACTTCAAAGTTGGGTTTGAAAAAATATACCTTCTTGTAGATCTCGAAGGCCGTGAACTGGGTGGCTGCGTAGGGGAAAATCCGCACCATCTGCGCTCCATTGCCTTTGTACAGGGCGATGAATTTCTCCGTCTTAACAATGTTCTTCAGACCGGAAAACACGCCTGCGGTGGATGAGTAGAGTGGTTATGCGAAATCTCAACCGTGAATGGAGATTTAATTATATATAACAGCAGGAAAAGAGATAATAAAAGAGCTCAGTTGAAAGAAACGGAAGCAATGACCACTAAAATTATTTTTTAATTTTTATAATACGTTTATTTGTATTTTAAATATATTTTTATTGCTAGAATTGAGCAAACCAATTATTCAGTCGTGCCCATTTACATTCCAATTCAATTTCTTTTAAATAGACTTTTTAAAATTTAATTTCATTTCTTTCCACGAAATTATTTAAGTGTATGCGTAAAATTTAAATTATTTTATTATATTTTCACTTTACCTAAATGTTGGTAGTGCTTGTTGTGGGCCTGCAGCAAAATCTTGATTCTGTCCAAGGGTGCCACAGTCGTCTTTGAGCACATGCCAGCAATGCCTGCAATAATGTGGAGGTTAATCATTTGCAACACTTAGCCAAAATCTTTTGTTGCGACAGCAGTGCCAAAAGTTATTTAGAGTTTGTTTATTCAAGATAAATTCATCTTGGTCGTTAAAGGTATGGGAAACATTTAGTGGTCATGGAATAGAATGAAGTAGAAGGATTTAAGTTTAATTATATAAATTATAATACAAAAATAATTATATAATTATTAATTTTACTCTTATTAATACTTTACAACTTCAGGAGTGACAATTTAAATATATAATATGCAGATTAAAATTAAATTAATTATAGATTCAGGACGAAAGTATAATTTAAAAGGATTTTTTGAAAATTTGGAAATTATTTGCTTTTAATTTTTTTTATAATTAAATTTTGAATGGAATTTTAATATTTTAGTTAAATTAAAAAAAGTATGTTTAAGTAAGTAAGTGCAGAAAAAACACAATAAAAATTTCATTGAAAAAAATTGGTGTCCTTCTTGAAGAAATTAGAAATCGTATAATACGGCACTAATTATGAGACGCAGATCCGTGTTCCTGTCTTTGAATTTTTTTGTTAACTCTCACCTCCGGCCAGAAAGGACTTGAGGATGAACTCGGGGCTGTTGACGTCCGTCCCTCCTGCCGACGGAGCCATGGCGATTCGGCGACTGTGCGGCGGTCGGTCGACGACGGACTGCACCTTCGGACAGACAGACAGACAGACACAATGCAATGCAGTCGGCGCGGAAAACAAAGCGCGCAACTCACTCACTTGTGCTGGAATTTCTCTGCTCTGGCAGCAGAGGAAAGAAGAAGAAAGTTGTTAGCGGTCACGCACCAAGCCCTCGCGCCCCACTGGACCACTTTCGGCAGCGCCGCGGCTGCATCTTCTTCAGCGGGAACATCACACACGCATTCCCGAGTCCCCACCGCTCTCCAACTTGGCAGGTGTTTCTCTCTCTCCTCGTCGCTCAAAAGTGAAATTGCCGCCCGGTAAGGCCTTCGCACGTGACGTCGTTTCCTCGGTGCATCCTCAAACGCCAATTTCGAAGCGACAAGCGCAAATATTTATGCAAATCCCGCAGTCGGCGAACGACCGCGGCCCTTCCTCTTTTCGCTCGCGGCTCGATTGCGCACCGACTTTGGCGCACCAGCTGGCGAACCACAACAAAAACAAACTTTTGCGGGAAAGACACGAGTGCGCGCCACAACATTATCGAGCCGCAGTAAATTTTGCGAAATTTTGATCCGCTCCGAGCATGAAACATTCGTTAATTTTCGTTCTTAAGCCAAATGTTCCGGGAAATTCTCGTTTTCAAAAAAAATTGGCTGTCATATAAAGTTTTTCTAAAAAGTTAAAAAAAAATTCTCTGCAAGTATTATTACTTCTTGCTTATTATTATTTGCTTATTCAGACCTAGCGTTCAAAATTATTATAAAATACAATTATAAATTTCGGTTGGAAATTTTTTTAGTGGTTCGCAACAAATCTATTTTTGGAGCGGCGTAAATAAATACTACTTGAGCGATTAAATGATAATTCATATTTAATTATTTCTTATTTACCTGCCTGGAAATACTAGCATAAATGGATATAATTTTAAATTAATTTAATTTTAATTTATTTTTCTTAATCAATCAAATCTTATACTAATACCAATTTTGAAAATTTTCAAATCCATTCTCCAGACGAACAAGTATTCCCTATATTTTTCAATAATTAGAGGTAGGATAAAACTGACAGAGGGACATCTGAGTCTCAAACCAATGATAATTAATTCCTTGTGTGTGGAAGTGCTACGTGTAAATCTTAGTTTTTATTCAACCAGAAGCTTCCTAAATTACCCCTGAGCAGATTCCCTTGTACCATTTTGCCATTTATTATATTTTAAATATTGTTGTAATAATTTTGAGGCGATGAAAAGGACCCTTACATAATTAATTAATAAATGGGAATTACTCAGGCAAAGCGAGATTCCATAAAAAGCGAGCGTTGTGCGGGCGCCAAGCAAGCAAGCGCCGCCCACGACGCGCCAATTTATTATTTCCTGGCAAACTACATAGGCGAGTTGTCGCCCCTTTCGGGTGCAGAGGTTTGGACAGCCGCAATTTGTCTTGGGCCGTGCTTTTCTGAATTATGGCGGGCAAGTGTCACCCCGGCCGGCTGCTTTTTCTTCGCTGGCACCCCAGCGCTCGCTTTCATTACTTGCAGACGCGACAAAAAGCTGCGCCGCACCGAGAAGAGCTCTCTGGCCATAACGATATAAAAAAAAGATGTGTCACACACGCGTTGTGTCTATACACAAGTCGCGGCGGCGGCTCCATTGAAGTATCATTCTCGCTGACACGCCTACGCCGACAGAAATAATAAAAGCTTTCAATATCTGAAATAATAGCACGGGAAGAGGAGAGGACGTGTGAAACAAGATATTTTATTTGACAGCACGACAAGGCGCGCTTAATGCGTGTCAAATACGGCACGTCAATTATACAGATCGCTGCATGCAATTTCGTTACTTATGCACGTCACAGATTTCTGCAGAATTGCCTTTTGTAACAGATTTTCATGTAATTCAAATTATGAAATTCTATTAATTAATAAATCATTTATTTTGTTTTCGATAGCACGCCCTTAAGCATGAGTTTTGTTTTGATTAATTTTATTACTGCTGGATTATTCGTCCATTTTTTACATCAATATAAAAAATTTCAACACCACTCTTAAATAGTTAATGTATTAAATATTTATAATTGGTATCAGTTACATTTTATCCATCCCTCTAGGCCTCTACTCTTCAGGATTAGGACTAGAAAAATTAGCAAAAGGAAAAATGACTTATAACTAGATTATTAATTTTGTACCCGTTGTGTACTAATAAGACAAATATATAAAAAATTTTAAATAACAATAATAATTTTACGTTTAACTTTTACAATATGCATGAAAACTTAGTAAAAACAAATTGAAATTAAACTATTTTAAAATTAAATAAAAAAAATTTATTTTATTAAAAATTTAAATACATAAAATAAACTGAGTAATGAAACTTTTATTAATATTATAATAATTAATATTTTATGAAGATATTTTAAAAATAAAAATCACAAAAATATGCTTTATATAAAGAAATTTTTTAAATCAACTCTTAATTCCTCAATTATTGAGATTTTTCATTTAAATATTTAACCGCCTATCCATTTATTCCATGATTCATATCAATTCATACATTATAATTTATAAAAAATATAAAAATACACTCTTCAGATTAACTGGATTTCATTAATGACTTTTTTATGAAAACTAAACCATTATTTTATTCTCCTCGTTCAGTCCCAGTTCCCAAATATTTTTAACAACAAACTCCTTCGAAATGTTACGTATGCAACCGTCTGTCCGCGAATGTCGTGCCAGTTGCATAAGCAGCCAGGCCGTTTCAATTTAATGCACGAGATTTCACTTCGAAAATCAAAAGGCTCAACGAGTTTTGTGGAGAACATTTGGAATTAAAAGTTTAAGGAATTAAAATCGCTTTTCCTTATCAAAGTGGTTGGTTTGATGGCAGAAAAGAACTGGTTATTTGTCACAGGTGCACTGACAAGATAGAATTTATGGAGAGCAAAGAAGGCAGGCGTGCGTGTGTTGGCCAACAGTGATCGAGCAGAAAAGGCATAAATTGCCGCAAACATATATAAACGACTTGAGTTCTCTATTAAAGCAATTGATCTCTGGCGGTAGTGCTACTACCTCATCGACAAACGAATGCAATAAAAAAGCAGCCGCGATTTAATATAAATTAAAGCGTTGACATGGCCGTGGCTGATAATTATTATTATTAATGCGGCAAACTCGTTTCCAATAATATAATCCAGTCAGTCGCGGGTTGCACATACTCTCGCAGCTATAAATGGCAGTAGCCGCACTCCCTTTTCAGTTGAACACGTCGTCGGACAAGCGAGATCAAAACAGCTTCTATTTATCTCTCTTGAACGGATTAATATGCAATGCATCTCATTTTTCCTCCTCGACACATGACTCCAGAGCGACGAGTGCTAATCGCCTTGCCATTTATTTTAATTTGCACCTCGCAACACGCATCAACATTCCTTTTTGCGCCGCTGACGTGCTGAGGCAGGCTAGAGAGCGAGCGCCCTCGAACGCGTATAAATCTTTTGAAATTAATTAATGCCGATTAATCCTAGTCGGGAAGCCTGCGAGGTGCGCGGATTAATTAAATTTAATTGAAAGTGAGACCTGGCTGACAGAATCGTTGAGCACCTTGTCTCATTGCAGTAGAAGACTTCATCGAACCAAGACATTTCCAGTCACAATTGTGTAGAAAAGTAAAATCATTTGAATTTTAAAAATCCACAGAATTAAAAAAAAAATTAAACTGAAATGAATTTTTCGGTCACAAGTAAATCAAATTTTACCAAGCAGCAATTTTTTAAGACATACTAATATAAAAAAGACAATGACAAAAATTCTTTATTTTTATAAGAAATATTTTAAAAACATAATTGAAACTAAAATAAATAATAAATTTGCTTTTTAAAAATAACTACTAATGAAATTTAAATCGAAATTTGATTTTTTTCCCTACATTTAGTTTTTTCTGAATTATACTGTTGGTAATTTTTTTTGCATTTTTGATTAATAATAAGAAATTTTATTTCCCTGTTAAAACATAAAGTGAATAATTCTTATAGCATTATCTCATCTCAATGTAGAAAATTCTAGGAATGAGCGTCATTAGATATTCATTATATCATATCCTCCTCAGAAAGGCTGTTGATATAACTCATACAGAAATCATGGTACATTTATGACTGAATTACTGCATCGCGCGGCGTCTCCGTCTCTGATGTGCGCGCACGTAAATTTACAACCCGCGCGCAAGCATAATACGCATCAGCTCCGAAAGCCATTTATAATGTGATGTCGTTGATGTTTTATTAGCCTGTCTGTGAAATTTATGTTATTATTTTCTTTTAGCTATTAAAATAATTTATTATCCAAGATTGTTGTGTAGGTACTAAATCATTTGCGGGGAGAATGTGTGTTTGTACGCGTAAGGTGAACCTTGCAGCTACGCCGGGCCTCGGCACGGCCAGCGAGAGGAGGAGGAGGCCGGAATGATTAAATAAACATGAGGAACATGACAGAATAATTACAGAGGCAGCAACCATTTTGCTTTTAATTAAAATATATCTGGCTGAAAAATCTGTGGTGTCATAATTTCTGAATTTGATTTACACCCCAGCACGTCTCTGTCTTGGACGTTGGGTACAAAGGATGGAGAAAAAAAAATAATAACACTGACGCTGTTTGCATTGCGAGATGAAAAGGCAGCAAGAGAGGCACCTGCTGTATTGGCGCCAGGAAGGCAAATTACAGCCTGTCCAAGACAAAAAGGTGAATAATTTATTAGTGAATGAAAAATTTGTGATAATTTCTGTATGAAACGATCTCTGATTTATTTTCAGCAGGCATGTATATATATAAATTAAGGACACAAAAATTAATTCGGCACTGAAAATAGCCACTATTGTAAATGTACATCGAAGGGCACAGTAATTGAACAACTGACTTATCACAGAGGCAGATCGCGCGTGTCCTCCCCAAATCGAAGGGTCCGACAACTTCAGAAAATTGAAATTCCATTTATGATTCTGATATTGCTTAATATTATGATTATTTCTTTCTTTTTGATATACCGAAATTTAAAATCTTCTAAATTTTTTTAAGAAATTCCAAATAAATTTATAATTTCATCAGAATTTTTAAAATGCGATTTTCAATTTTGTGATAACGTTCAGGCCCTTTAAGGGTGCACGGCCGAGGAGCCCACCCTGGGTCCGTAGAAGGAGAAGGGAGGGTAGTAGGCCGACAGGGGTGGGGGGTTGAAAGCACTGAAGGGGCCTGCGGCCAGGGAGGGTGGCAGGGCGCCCGGTTTGGCGTACGGATGGTACCTGGCCGCCGACATGGGGCTCAGGGGCGGGTTCGGGTAGCGCATGAGGGAGTGGGGGCTGAGCAGGTCGGCGGGGGCAGCAGCGGCCGTGTGCGATCTCAGGTGTTGCAGAAGTTCGTCGGAGCTGTTGAACCGCTTTCCACAATAATTGTCACCCACAATCCAGGAGCAGATGTAAGGGCGGGGGGTGGACCCCGCCGGGGGCGGGGGTGGGTACAGGGCGGCCAGGGATTGCGGCATCGAGGGCTGCATCAGAGACAGGGCGGCGGCCAGTCCATACTTGTGGTGGTCGCACTGGGTGCAGCCGGCCGGGCAGGGGGCCGCGGCGGCCACCGCGGCCAGCAACTGCGCGTTGTGGGCCGACAGTTGGCACCCCTGGCAGTAGGGGTCCTTGCACACCTGCGCGTCCTTGCGGTAGAAGGGCTGCATGTAGGCGAATCCGGGTGGAAACCCAGCCAGGGTGGGAGGTCGGAAGGCAGGGTTGACCTCCAGGTAGGGGTTGACGGGCAGAGACTTGTACGGCGACCCCAGGGGTTCCTTCACCCCTTGTAGGAGTTCCAACCCCGAACGGATGATGGGACTGGCCCCTTCCTTGTCCTTGCTGGGTTTGGCCGAGGGCGATTTGCGGTTTGATTTTGACCCCGGAGACTTTTTCCCCGGTTCGGAGATTTCCGCCGGTTTTTCGGGTAGCGGTTTAGAAACGGGGATGTTCTCGTAGGGTTTGAAGGCCAGTTTAGGGGTGGTCCGTGTGATTTCGGTGGCGCTGAGTGGAGAGCCGCGACTCGCGACCCGATCCGACTTGGCGCTGGGCGCGCGCTCGGCCGCCGAGCCTCCGTTGGCCGCCAGCGAGAGCGCGTCTTTCTTCGGCTTGTCAAAAGATTTGTTGTTGCCCGAGGAAGAGTCGGCGCCGATTTGGCTGCACGTCTGCGCTAGCAGGGCCAAAGGACTTTTCTTCGCGTCCAACTGAAACAAAAATGCAAAACAGACTTCTTAGTTATACGAATTATACTCACAGTTTAAGTAAAATATGAAAATGTTAAATGGAAAATTAAATAAAATCAATTTTTTAATTTGCAAGTTTTTTTTTAAGAAATAAGATAAAATTTTGACCCAATTTGGTACAACTGTTTTATTTTTATGTTATGAAATTTTAACGATTACGTTGCATTTTTTTTTTTATTATTTAATGCAAGGAAAAGCATAAAAGGTGTAATTAAATTTATCTGCGGGCCGTCGGATTTATTAGGAAAGCGCCTGTCTAAGTACTAAAATGAGGGAAACAATGACACACGCGGTGCTAAATTATCTGCGTCAAATGCTGTGAATTACGAGCGCGCGCGAGTGCATCAAGCTGTGCGGCGCGCGGACGTAAAATTTCGCGATAAGGACTTCAAAGTGCCAATTTCACTGTGCGCCTTTATTTTTATGTGCACTTTCCCAGGGGCTGCGGCGACGTTAATGCGCGCTCCTCCAGATAACTTCGGCTTATGTGCCGCGTTATTAAAATTATCTCCAAGCAACCATAATTACTACGTTGTGCGCGCCATACGTCGCGCATTAAGTCTTAATTACAAACAGCATGTGGAGCAAGTGAAATTTTCAAGTACCGTAAATTGTTTTAAAAAGTGTAAAAAGTATTGTTTTATCAAAATAATTTTCACTAAATTTCAGATTTTTGAACAAATTAAAAAAAAAAACATTTTATTTTTTATATTTTTTTCCTCCCCGAATAAAAAGATGAAGTAAATTTTAATTACCGTGGTTGGAAGAGGCGACAGATAGTCAGGTTGCAAGTACTGGTTGCTGCCGTTGGTGAGCATTCCTCTTGAGTCGAGCACCACCATTGATTTCGGAACACAGAGATCGGAAACTAATTTCCGACTCACTTATTCAACTGACGGAAGGCTTTCTTTCACAAGCAAACACAAAATCTCCCAGGTATCCGCACGTGCGTAATCCAAATTCGGGCCGAGGACTTCTGGTCAGGAAAAAATAAAATATAATTCCAACGGGAGAGCGGCACGGGTACTCCCTTCGAAAGCTGGGACCAAACTGAGTTATTCCCCTGGTCGGCCGCCGAGTGCCCCCACTTCAGTCCCTTCCTCTCCGCGGATTCCATGGCTGTGCGGTCTGATGAGTGTGGAGATACGACATCTACCTTCCCCTGCACTTCGATGCTTGCGAGCCGAGTTCCTAAACCATTGGAACAAATCTTGATTAAAAACATCTTTCACAAATAATGCATACTTGGTTAGAATATTTGTGGAAAATTATTTTTATCAAGTGTTTTATTAATATAAAGTTAACTACAATATTTAAATTAGTTAATACCAAATTTATATAGTTTATTAAACTTGAAGCATCATATTTGCGTTTAAACATTATTTAATCTTTAAAATAAAGTTTTTCGACAAATAAAAAATTTTGGATATTATTTTAATAGCAGCATTTATACAAATAATAATTTCAAATGTTTCACTTTTAAATATAAATATATTATAATAAAACCAAGGTGAAATAAGAATATCAGAGGATTAATTTCACATGTTCTGTGTCGTTGCAGTGGTTAATAAAATTTTATTTACTAACAATCTTATTAAAATTTAAATAATCTAATTTCAAAACAATCTGCAGTCAATTCAAAAATATAATTATGTGTGTTCGTATACTTCAAATTTCTAGAAACTAGATATAAAATTCAAAATCAGTGATCATCAGAAGGTGATTGGTATGTATAAATATGTAATAAGCAATAAAATTAAAATTTTTGGTAATTATTTTTAAATGTGTAAGATTTACATTGACGCTAAATTATAAACATTTTTTGTTTGAAGAAGTTGACACTCGAGGAGATGATGATGATGATCATGGAAATGAAGAGAACGGGCTTTTTCCTTGTTGCAGAAAACATTTTAGTTTCTCATACAAAACTGACTGCCTCATTATATTTAAATGCGGGTTAAAAAGGGATTTGTATTACAAAAATCAATCAAACTGCGATCAAAAGTTAAAAGAAAAATCAAACTTGGTGTCGGCTCCCGCGGCGTGGACTTGAGGAATCTGACCGGCTGCTGTCGGCCTCCAGCAGCTCGGTTCTTCATTCTGATGACGCTGCATTTTAATGTGTGTGTGTCCATGGCAGAGAGATGCAACCACCCATGGTGCTACCGCGCGTTGCGGGCGATGACAGCAGCTTCAAAAGCTTTCCTTTGGCCGCCCCGTTTGATTTCGCCGCGCTTTGCCTTCATTATTTATCGTTCAGCTGTATTATTTTTTCCCTGTCAAAGGATGTTTGAAAATTTGTTCTCTGAACTGGAATCGTCATTTGGATTTTTTCTTCGCTCCCCGACCTGATATGTAAAAGAAAAAAAAAACAGGGCGTCTCGGATTGCACGCACGTTGTTTGAGCAGAATGAAATCGTAATTGCCCATACTTGATGGTTGGAAAAAGAAAGAGCACGCCGACGTCAGTGCGCGCTGAAAAATGAATTTATAAAATATCACCTTTCATATTTGTAACGTGTTGGGTTTTTTATATGTTTTTGGACAGATGTTGGACAGGTATAATAATTATTGTGTGTGAGTGAGTGAGTTTAGAAGAAAAAAAAATATCCAACAACAAACTCGGCTGCTCGGTATTCTTTCTTTTCTTTCAGACGAATGAAACATGACAAGTTGAAAATGATTTTTCCACGTCATAACTGCCGTAATAAGGTGTCATATCATGAAATGTGATAAATCATTTTTATATACTTGGCTTACCTTGGGGAGATGTGCATGCGCGAGTATAGTTTGAATCAGCGCAGGAATTTCATCGGATTGTGCCAGAGACTTTGAGACGTGACAGTTTCATATATAAATTAATCTCAACCCAGCAACTCAGGAGAGTGGAGTGACTGCTGAAATTAAATTCACGCCATTAAATAAATTGATAGATAAAATCTCTTTTTTTACATGGTGATTTATTAAAATCAAAATTTTGGTTGAAAAATTCCACCGGGTAAAATGTTATAGTTTAAGGAAAGTCTTTAATGCGCATTTTATTATTAGTCTATTGATTTTAAAATTTTTTATAATCTTTATATAAATAAAAGAAAACTTAATACATTTATTATTATAAACTTTAACGTCCAACGATTTCTGCATGGCAAAGAATAGACAAAAAATCTGAAATTTAAAATGTTTGTTTCTATATATTTTTTAACTCCACGATTTAAAACTGATTTGATTGTAATTATAACAAAATATGAAAAAAAAAAATTAAATGGTAAATTTTTTGTGCAAAAAAAAAAATTAAATACAATTGGGAACAAATTGAAAAAAATCTCATTGATAATGAAGTCTTCAAATTATATAATTTGAAAATTTTGAATTAGTACAGATTTGTTTTTAATAATTTTTTTTTTAAATAATTAATTGTCAGAATAAATTTTGCAGCGAATTGAAAAAATATGAAAGACAAAAATTTGAGGCGTGACATTTGGACAAAAATTAATCTCACCCAAGCTATACAATACATGTGAGAGTGAAGCGAACTCGGAAATAAATTCACACCGGCACATTAATTAAAATGATAAATTTCTTTTCCTCTCTCTCGCTTGAAATCATATACGTTCATTAGCAGTTTTACAAATGAATAAATTACACATTTCACTTCCCATTAATGGATACATTATATGCAAATTTGAAAGCGCGCCTTTATTATTTTTTCCGCAGCTCATAATGTGAGTGGACAGCAGGAAAACAGGCACACACATCCTGCAGAGTGTTGACTTTAAACGCGAATTCACACTTGAGCTGCCGCGCCGAGGTTCAAGTGTTAATTACACATGTTTATTTAGCAATTTGCTCCATCGCGTGAAAATTTATGCCTATATGGCTGAGCAAACTGAACTTAATTGCGCAACGCGACGAGAGAGGAAACCAAACGGCCATTCAACACTCTATGCGCATTTTAATAAGGCACTACTTTTACTGCATTTTATATTTAATTTATAGTCACTCTCATTGAAATGCAGCTATAAGTATTACTCGTTACTACATTATTGCCGTACATACATTAAGCAACTTAGAACAATCAACTCGGGATTAATCACGCAGATATTGATATCAATTAATCACACAATGACGTCAAAATTATTTCTGCAATAAAGTTGAACAAGCGAGAAAGTTTTCTTTTTGCATTTATATTTTAAATATACATATTAATTATATTGCAAGACATATAATACAGAGTTAGATTCCTCATCGTAATATTTAAAAAATAAATAATTCTCATTAAAAAATGGTGGGTTAATTCATTTAATTAATTTTGTTGTCCATTTTATTTGTTTTTCCAAATCAACCCACGATCGAGAAAGATATTTAAAAAATTAAATTGTATTCACCAAAGTACATTTGAAGATAAAAACTTGCCTGGAGCGTGACATTAATTCTGCCGGATTTTAAGAGCCATAAATGAAAGTGAATGGGGGTCAAAGCATTTGGTTTTGCGGCGGTTGTGCTACTCCTTGGCGAGAGAGTGAACGTCTCGCTCGGTGACAAATCTCATCTGTCGGGACAGCTGTTGGCAATATTGTATGAGGCCGATAGCCAGGCTTGAGTGTATTTCGAGTGCAATTTATTGGCTTTTCAGCTGTTGACGACTTGTCCTGGTTCAGCTAGGGATCTATGAGCTGACAACATCTCATTCTCGATGCTTTTATATTTCTCCAACAAATTTAAATATAATTTTTATTGCTCCGTATGTTTTTCTGCAAATATTGCGAAACCTGTTGAGAGTGGCTTTCGGCCATAATTTGAAATGTAAATTATTACCGCCGGATAATATCTCTCTCGCCGCCAAGAGCACCTATATTAAAAGTTTGTATTTGAATTCCGTTTTAATTGATCATTAAATTGTGTACTTTATAGCACACCGGAGAGAGCCGAGAATATATTTACGAGCGCACGCGGTGCTGATTTTTAATTTACAATTCGCGCGGTGCGATGTTAAATTAACTGGCTGATCAATTTGGGCTTTGCCTCTTATATTTATGGCTTAATTTATCCGCTAAACTGCGGCCGGGTCGCAATTTATTTCGCCTTTCAGCATCCACTTAGGCCACATTTCTCGATTCGGCACATTCACCAATAACATGTTTAGCACACACTTTTACTCTAATTAGCTGCTGAGCTAAGAAAGCCGTTTATTTTGAATAACACGGTGATAAATTTAATACTGGTCGAGTTTTATGGACTGACCAAGAAGTGGAGTTTTTTTCGCGACTTTAATTGGACGCGCACTTTCTTTAAATGAAGTACAAAATTGTCTTCAAACCCTTAAAGAGAGTCTGACAGCTTTCAAAATAATTAAAATTCCATTAGTTGATATTTCTGGTTTATTTCTTAACTTTTGAAACAGGGTTTTGATTTAAAATCAACTTTTATGAAGTTTCCCGCAAACCAGATCATAATGCAAAAAATTTGGAAAAATTTAAAAATTAAATTAAGAGCCTTTCCGGTTTTTTTTTTACGAATTTTTGTATAAAAGACCTTAATTAAAATCAAAAAGAGATTCGCACTTAAAATAGCTGAGAGACAACTGGATTCATTGAAGATTCACCTTTATCCTCAAAAAGCATTTAAATCTTTGATGAACCTGTTTTTTGTTTTCAACCTTTTTTGGTTGCGAATATCACGATATCAATTCTGATATGTAACATTAATAAATTTAATATTAAATGTGCCTTCTATCAAATGAAAAAGTAAAAGTCATCACTCCTTCAAAGAAAGAAAAAATCAAAATTAACATTGATGCGATTTTATTTTTATTTTTTACTCCCTTTGATGCAAATTAAAGCTCGTAAATCACCGGTGTGATGCATACGCGCGCAATTAATCTAGAACACAACACGTGTGCCATTGTAAATGCCAACAATTAATTTTATTTTTCCCAACCTCTGGACGAGGTCGGTAAATCAAACGCGAATAATTAATGACACCGTGTGTGTTACACCCAACTCATCAGCATCCATCATTTTTATTTGGGCCGCAACCAAGAGCGAAAATTTTCAACGCTCATCTCTCACTCTCTAGAAATAAAATTTTAATTGCGCGCTCATTTGTTACAAGAACAAAGGGGATAAAAAGACGCGCTTTTATTCCGGGGCTTTCCGTACGATTTTCGCAGTTTTGTGCCAAGTTTTTATTCGAACACTGCGTTTAGCTGAATGCGAGGCGGCGATATTGTGGGTCTTAAATGTAAATGCATTGATGCCTTGCTTGTTTGCTGGCAAAGAGGAAGCCATTTGTTATCCCGGTGATAGCATCTTTATATGTTTGCCGCCGGACTCGCAGCATTTATACGATGAGAGCAGGCGAAGCTCTGCGCTGTGCATGAAAATTTCTTTGCTGGCGCGCCGAAAAAACGCGCCACGCACGCAGCAAGTTAAAATAACATAATAAATCGAGCGCGCGGAATGTATGCTTCGGTGCTTTCAGCCAACTAAAAATAGAATTATATTTGTCTCTTTTGAATTTTAATTACAAATGGGCGTGCATAGTCAACGATCTTATTTATTTAGAAACCACAATTGGTTTGATTTTTTTATCCTTCTGTTTATTTAAGGTTTGATGAGAAATCAATATATTGTATTTTATTTAAAAAATCTGCATTGACATAGTTCAACGCTTTCTTAATCAATTTTGTACAAATTTATGATTAAATATGAAATTTAAATATATATCAATTTTTGGTATTAATTTAAAATTAAAAAAAAAGTTTGGGAGCTAAGGTACCAAAAATGTAAAATGACTTACCTTAAGAATTCCAAACCCTATTTAAATTTTTTTGTTTTTTAAAACAAAATAAACGTATAAAATTTTGATTAAATTCTACCCTTATTTCATAGAATTGTTATTAAATATTTTGAAAGAAAATAATTATTTTTGAAATATTTAATTAAATAATGATTATATATTAAAAAAAATGTAAAAAAATTTAAACAAATGCCTTACATATAATTAGAAGTAATATTTTTAAAAACTTATATTATTAATTTTTAACAAGTTTATTTTTTTTTAAGATTTTGTAGTTTTTGAATTATTGTGAATTTCTTTTTGGAACTCATTTTGCAACGCTTGCTCATTAAATCGATTTTTATGCAAGTTGTAAATTTAAATTTACACAAGAATTTCATCTGGACACATTTTCACCTTTATAACTTTCAGTTATCTCAAGAGAGCTTCTCACCATTTCAATTTAATTTACACACCATAAAAGTGAATAAATCGCGACTCTTTTATTGCCGAGGAAATAAAATTTGAGTTACAAATTGGAGAGAAGCGAGTGGAAAAGGCTGAAAGTAGTGTTTTTTTTACTGCCTCTCATTGGTTTGCACGTCGTAGTGTCGCGGCTGTGGCGGCGGCGATCGAAATAATTAGGATTCAGCACCACGCGGGGCATAATGCGTCGCGAGGTGGAGTGGAAGACATAAAAGGATAAGAGCGGAGAGGATGGACAGCATAATGTTGTGATAAACATGACTCTAATATATAATCAGCGGTGAATAATTTATTCCTCATTTATGCCGTCGGTCGCAGCCTTTAATGTCTATGTGCCTTGAAAGAAAAATAAAATGCAGTGGCGGCGGCGGCAGATAAAAATTTGTTTTTGCCATTGCTGAATAAATAATGAGTGTGACCCCGATGATGAGCACACACATCGCCTTCCTTAATTAGCGCTCTCTTCATTTATAGGGCGGCTCAAAAACATACACCAAGTGTTTTTTTTTTTATCTTTCAAACTTAAAATATTAATTTATGCGCCGGCTGAATATATAATTATTTCGCCTTTAATCACCTGCCGTCTGTCAAATAAATTCGCCGCGCCAACTTTCATATTTACATATTTTAATTG